CTTTTTGTGATTCTGGCTGACATAGTTCACCAAGTTGATTACATTTTTCATTACTTTGAATTATTTTGGGGGTTGTTTTCTAATGCATATTTATAAAATAAACATTTCAGAGTAGCAAAAGCAGCTATTTCCTGGCAGCTAATGAATCCCCATATTAGATTCTCATTTGCAAGTTGGTCGTTAACTTTTTAGGAAGTTAATCTGGTTATTAGAACCTTGTTATGCAATTATTATAGTGCTACAGAATTAGTGTATTTTGTTCCATAAAGTCAAGGGACGAGTAAAACCTCTATGCAGTGATTGGAATAAAATTGTACTCGACTTTTTGGTGTTGTTTTATTGTAACTTTATCATGTACCAAGCTTTTCCTTAGGTTTGTGTCACTATATTTATTTGCTGACATCACTTCTATCGCTAATATAACCAGTTTTGTGTTCATTATTTCTACTAAGATCATAACAAGGTTCAGAATTTTGTAGCTATTTATAGGAAATAAAACTTAATAGTGTGTTTGCTGACTTTACAGCTGCTTGATAAAGGTAGTGAGTTTTCAGTGTTTTCTTTTTTTTTAAGATTTTATTTATTTATTTGACAGAGAGAGACACAGTGAGAGAGGGAATACAAGCAGGGGGAGTGGGAGAGGGAGAAGCAGGCTTCCCGCGGAGCAGGGAGCCCGATGTGGGGCTCAGTCCCAGGACCCTGGGACCACGACCCAAGCCGAAGGCAGATGCTCAACCGACCGAGCCACCCAGGCGCCTCCAGTGTTAGTTCTTTAAAAACATTTTAGTTTACCTTGCTTCTAGTGTTTGACTTTTATTAATTTCTATGTTCAATGATAATTTTAGAAATTTCTAATTTTTTGTTACATACCAAACAATTGGTAATGTGTGAGTTTATTATCATGAAATTTATTAATCATAGCTTAAAAGGTATGAACACACATATATATATATGTGTATGTATTTAGTTTATCCTTAGAATAAAATAAATTTCTTGTCTTTTTAAATGTAGATATGAAATTTGAATTGCTGTGTTACAGCCATTCACTGTTAACTGCTGTTAACTATTTAGGTTGGTGCAGTGCAGCTTCATTCTGTTTTTAGAAAGGCTGCATGTTCTAGGGCAAATACCCTGGGCTCTTGGAGAGTTGGTCCTCACTAACCCACTTACAAGGTTCTCCTGCATGAAGAAAACTGACTAACATTTAGGGGCTTCTGACAGCCTAAGGCTATGTCCCTGTGATGACCCAGCCCCCTTTGAGTTCCTGTCTGGCAAAGCCCAGGGCTGTCAGAATGGCAGTGTGTTTGGTCAGCACCTGGATAGGCCTGCCCCTCCCTTTCTAGTGCATTTACAGTTTTGCATCCTTCCTCTGTCCCTGAGATGTCTGTGTGTCTCTACAACCCGGGAGTGTTTCTCTCTAGGACCTGAAAGCCATCCTGCAACTGGAATCCCCAGGAAGGATGAGGCCTCTGCCTCCAGGTCTCTATGGGAAGGTAGGCTCCTGACTTCCATAGCTGCCAGCCTGCAGACACTTATGTGTCTGGCCTGGCTGCATTTATGCTGACCAGCCCTGCGTGATTTTCTCTTGCCCAGCTGCTCCGTTTAATGTGCCCAGCCACCCCTGCACAGATGGGAATGGAGCTCAGCTGTCCCCTGCTGTCGGCAGTTTGTCTTGGACCTTCTCCCCACACTGCTAATCTGCAGTCAGCCCCCGAAAGGACTCAGTCTGCGGTCAGCCTCGCCCTTGCAAGTCAGACTCAGTGCCATCTGAGCTTTGGTGTCCTGTGCCTGGTGCAGCATCTGCACATTAGGGCTCTTGTTTGCAGATGCACGTGTCCACAACGTCGAATCTGTCGTCTGGAACGTTAGAAACGACCTGCACATTCTCAGCCAGGCCGTGTGCCTGTTGGTGTGCTAACAAGCAGGGATTAGAGGGATAGCTGTGGAACAACCAGTAATCCAGTTTACTTGATTACTTGAGCAGCCAATAATTTGTTTCTAAGTAATCGAATTTATAATATAAAACATTTTCTAGCATTAAGGGGTAATTTTGAAAAAGACAGCCAAAGGTAAATTATGTCTTAATCCTAAAGCTGTGTGTGAGCCAGCCTCCCCTCTTTGCGTCTGTTGGCAAATGCACTAGTTGGTCTGTTGTTCTGTGGGCTTGGGAGGCCACCTTCTGTGGCCTCCAGTGTCCCTGCTCATTCCAGCCTGTAATTCTGGGCATTCTTGCCATGAGGGACACCACCCCTGCGTGCTCTGAACTAGATCCCCTGGGTTGACCAGTGGTGCTGTAGACACAGACCATGTGACTGCCATGGCATGAAAGTCTGGGTTGGGTTTGGGGCAGTGGGACTGGACAGGAAGAATGGATTTCTTTCATTTTAGGAAACATGTTATGAGAAGTAGTAGGACTTGTTGATGGGTTGCATCTGATCTGAGACTGGAGTGTCAGTGCCCTGTCCACCAGGCCACTCTTGGCATGCAGCCCAGCCACAGCGACCGGCAACCAGGATGCTGAGGGCAAGGGTGCGTAGCCCCCAGGTGTCAGGAGCTGTGGCAGCTGTTGTCAAACAATTTGTGGAAAACCAAACAACTTCGCACTTTTAACCCTTTATTAACATGCAACTAACGGGTTCAGCTGACATTTAGCTTTAACATTCGGCAAGCGAGTGAGTGTTTGCTCAGCCGAGATGGTGCTGGGTGTTGAAGGCATCGGGTGGCTGCACAGTGCTGCCAATCCAGGACACCCTGGAAGCTCGTGGGTTGGGTGGTGTTTGGAGGCAGGCATGATGTTCCGGGATCTGTGTGCTTTGGGGAAACTGCTTTTTGGGAATAGAGAAGTGGGGCTAGAGGGGTGACTGGGGATAACAGGCCCCGAGCATGACCCCAAGAGTGAGACTCTGGCTTTCCTGCCTCTGAGTTTGGCTCAAGAATAAACAGTACATAGTGTAATGAGGGAAAAGGACCCTGGCCCAGGAGGAGCTGTTCTGCAGCTTCTGCCTCTGGAAAGGATGGTGGGTGAGGTGTCCGTGCTCCCACAGCCTCCTCCTGGGGTGTCAGCATGAGGTGGAGGAGAAGTGCAGAGAATTCCTTTGAAGTCCTGCTGTACTCTAGGGGCAGACGGACAGCACCATGAAGGCTGTCTAAGGCTCTCCCCGCACAGGGCTCCAGAGAGCCTCGTGGTAAATGGGCATCATTGAGCCGGCTCACCAGGTGGCTCATGTGAGATGCTGGTCGGCTACACTGGGGCTCTTTCTGGAGTTGCTCATTTTACATGCAGCGGACACGCAGCCCGGGGTCACCTGGTGTGGACATTGACCTCCATGGAGTTGAACTCTCAGGTTTGCCTGTGTGTGGACTGAGTAATCCTGTAGCTTGAAGGGTTTGCTGTGTGGGCAGCTCCCCTCTTTTGTTTTCAGAGTGGGGTTTATTCCCCTTATAGGGGGAAGCGCTGCCTTTCTATTCTGTACTTGGAGAGACCAGAGTTTAACTGGTGTCTCTGTTCCACAGGGCAGGGGCTGAAATGCTGGTGAATTTGGTCTTTAAGAGAGTGGAGGGTAAAAAAGACAAAAGGCTCCTGGTCTGAAGCACTCTGTCTACACATATGTACGCAGAGTTCCTAAAAATACATGTGACACGTGAGGGCTGGGATAGGGCATGAGGGAACTGTGTGTTATTTTATAACATAAACCATTAATTTTTTAAATGACAAAAGACATTTAAAAGAAACAAAGAAAGAAAAATCTTTAGGGGGTGAGCAAGGCCATTTGCCTGATTTTCAAGGGCCCAAAGCTGGGTTGGTGAAAAGGGCAGAAGGAAGATCTTGTGGTCTACCAGAGAGCTGGTGCCTGCAGGGTTTTTACCTGTCAGCGTAAGTCATGTGATTACATCTAGGAGGAGGCCCAGTCCCTGGGCCCTGGCTGGTGCCCTTCCCCTCGGTAGGGGTCTCTAGCTCTCGTCCTCTCTCGGGCACACGAGCTCTCTGTTCAGTTTGGACCGTGTGTTCGGAAAAGGTCCTGTGTTAAACCTCTACACAGAGCAGTGAACTTGAGACAAAAATTTTTAATGTTCAGAAACTATAAGTTATAACTATGCTAATTGCTACTGATCATCTTACACCATATCTTGCTGAGGACCCATTTTGTTAAGTCAACCAATTTATCAAAAAATATGTTTTCTCATTATAGTAGATCACAGTAAATTTTGTGGTTATAGTATGCGTTGGCTAGATTCTTATAATTGATTGCTTTTTATTTTTAGTTAGTATTTATGAACTATTGTGAACTGTTTTTCTGTTTCCTTAACTTTCACATTACCAGGAAGATTTTTGGTGGCTTATCCATGAATAAGTTTTTGTTTTTCATTTGTACTACATTTGCTTTAAATCTGAAACTTACAAAAATCTTACTTTTTTTGTACCCTCAAAGCAGTGTTTCTCAAAGGGAAAGTGAAATAATCTGGATAAATCTACCATGTTGTCTATAGGAAACATCCTTGATTAATTTGCTTAGTGAGTTTCTTCATTATCTAAATCTGTCTTGTATGTGGCCGATGAATTGTGTATGCGCTCATGGAGGAGTCATGTTGCTGCATGCTCAGTACCTGGGGGCCAGGGGGGCGGGGCGCAGCCTGCCAGGTAGGGACACTCCAGGGGCATCTCCTCCGTTGGCAGCCAGAAACACTGTTGGGCAGTGGGACTGGGCAGTGACAGGCATTGGGTGACATGGAAGGTGGAGAGTGGGGAGTGTGTTTTACCTACACTTATAAAGTAGCCAGAGGAACACATTCTATAATTGTTTATAGGTCATCTTAGACTAGGGAATAGTTTTTTAAAATTTGCATTACCATTACCTTTTTTCCTAGTAGGTAGTAATTTCTTGCATGTCAAGGACTAATTGCCATTGACTTAAATGACCTAATGAAAAAGCAGCTCACTAGAGTGTACAAAATTAGTTTTTTAAACTTTAAAAATTCTAACTTTATACTTTTCTTTTTAGAGAAGAACAAAAGATGATACTTGGAAAGCAGATGACCTCAGAAAACATCTTTTGGTACTGTATCTTAAAGATTTGAGTTGGGGTCCTTTTGGAGCTTGGACAGTTTCTTGGACAGTTTTACCTGCTTCTCAACTTTGCTTCTGTGTGGCTCATTTCAGAAGTGTTTTTGACTCAGAGATAAAGCCGTATCGTTAATAGGTCTGGAACTGTGGTGGGACAGGGTTGCCCTGCTCAGCCCAGCATCCCAGCAGCTCCATCAGGTTTCTGTTATGGGTCAGGGCTTGGGCCATATGTGTCGGGGTGTGCGTGTATGTGTGTGGTGTACATTGAGTGCATGTGTGTGGTGTGTGTGTGCATGTATGTGTGTGTGGTTTATCTGTGTGGTAAGTTTGCATGCGTGTGTTTATGTGTGTGTGTGTGCATGTGTCTGTGTGTGTGGTGTATGTGGAGGGAACTTTGGGCTGAGAAAATGAGTAAAAGGAAAATCCCCCTTTGCATTGGAGTCGGGAGGCCAGAGAGGGCAGCGCCCAGGCTCTACCAGTCCACTGTCCACTGCAGACCCAACAGGGAGAGATGCATCTCCCAGTGGATACTATTTTACTATCCCGGAAGGAGAAAGGAAGCTTTCCTCCTGCCCTGGCAACAGCTCAGCCAGCGAGAAGCCACTACACTTCCCAGCTCCAAGTTAACACCAACGGACTTTTAGATTAATGCAGCCCCTCCCAGTGCCCCCTCTCCTCTGTAAAAGAGCCTCCTCCCTTTGTTCTGCAGAATCACCTATGGTTTTGCCATAGCGTAATTGTCCCAGATTGCAATTCTCTGCCATTCCCGAATAAACCCATTTTTGCTGGTAAAGTAACCGGGGTTAACAGGGGTTGAGATCAAGACCACCTGAGAATTTTATAGGGGTGAGGGGCCGGTCAGTCCTTGTTCTTGGAGTTGGACCCAGGCTGTTAGTGTCTCAGAGACTTTAAGATGTAGCTTCAGTAACCCTTTCTTTTTCTTTCTGTTCCATGTGGTAGTTCAGATTTGACTTGCCAGCAGATGCGAATGTCTCTGGTAAATGGGTGCCCACTGCCAGTCATAGAAATGCTCAGTCTGATTTTGCATTCAGAGACTCTTCTTCCAGGCCCATCTTGCTGGGATGGAAAGCAGTTGCAGCTAGTGTTAAGACCCCTCATTGAGTATGACTCAGATTCCAAATTCTGCTTTTTTTCTCTTGGTTTAGGCTGCACAATCAGGTAGTCCCAAGGAAGATAAGAAACACAGAGAAAAGAAGCTGCATAAGGAGTCAGAAATGGACCTCCCTGAATACAGAGAGCCCAAGCACGGGGGCCCAGACCGAGACAGCAAGTACAGAGAGAGGCCTGGCGAGAGAGATGGCCCCGTGTCCAGGGAGAACCCTCATGGGGACAGAGAAAGAGAAAAGCAAAGGGAAAGGAAAAAGGACTCCAGAGACCGGGACAGAGAAAGGCATAAGGAGAAACACCGCGAGCAGGACACGGAGAAGTCTCACGGTAAAGGAAAAGACAGGGACAAGGCCAGAGACCGCGGAGCTAAGAGGGAGGAGCGCGGGCGGACGGCTGCCTGCCATGACCCGCTGGGCTGGCTGCTCCTGGGCAGAGCAGAACGCGAGACCCGAGCAGGTGCGTGTTTCCGCTGTGGAACCTTGGCAGCTGGTGCGGCTCCATACTCTCTCGGAGGCACACTGCGTGGCTGGTGGCTGCATCTTGTCTGTATCTCTCCACTAAAAGAGCTTAGTGCTCAGGGGTATTTCCCTGTCTTGCAAGGCTCGCTCGTCGTATTTTCTTTCATGATTTTCATAAATGTCTTAGCTTGACCTTGACGGTATAGGCCTCTGTTGTGTGTGTGTGCAGGTATGTATGTACTTTTCACTGTTTTTTTTTTTTTTTTGACATTTTAAAAACTCAGTGAATGAAAGGAGTAACAATTTTCTCAATATTTACTGCAGTTTTACTATTAAGGCACATTTTAGACTACCTGGCTAAAGCTCAGGCTACATTGTAAATATCTGAAAATAATGCTCTTTAATTAGAAGAATTCCCCAAAAGTGTCAGTTTTATTCTAAGCAAGATTTAAATATTTTTATCTAATTCCCAGGAATTCTAAGATAAATGTGCATACTTCCCCCCCATGTAAGTATCATCATTTTTTTACTGTACAAATAGTATATGTTTTTCTAAAAAATTCTAACTAGCTAAAGTAAACAAAAAGAATATACTTAAACAATACATAATAATTCTTAGATTTGTCACGAAGGCTTGAGGTCCTGGTCATGAACAGGATGGAAACCACGGCCCCTTGTTCACGTCCCCTCTTACCACTGTTGCCTTCTGCTCCCGAGGCCGCTGCCCGGGTCTGCACGGAGCCCAGAAGCAGGGCACCTGCTGGGGCGTGAGTGTGCATTTTTGTTGGGTAAAGTGTACTTAGGGGTGGGATTATGGGTTGATGGGGTCACCACTCGGCATGTTTAACAGAAACTTCCTTACTCTCCATTGCCTCTTTTCACGGTTATTGTATTGATGTTCTTGGTGTGTATTTCTAATAATATCTTTTTTGCTTCTCTGCTTCCCTGAGCACCTCGGTCAGTGGCCAGGCACTCGGATGCCGTGTGTGTGGGCTAGTGCCCCTCTTGAGTTTCCAGGGGGTCAGTCGGATCTTCTCCAGATTGCCTCAGTTGCCATTGCGGTCTCCCTCCTTAGCCCATTTTACGTTTAGATTCTAGGACTTCTCATGCTTGATGTTGAAGGGTGTGTTTTAATTGAAGAATATGTTTTCATATGTGTTAACATATACTACATAATGATGCAATATGTACAGTAAGGACTGCAGCAAGATGTTAGGTCATTCTGATGTGCTGACGTTTGGAAATGTCAAAAATATGTTCTGTTTTTGTAGTAAGCAGAGGGAGAACGGAAGAGAAGGAGAGGAGAGGTGGAGACCCTGAGAGGGGGGACGAGGAGAGAGAAAGACGATACAGAGAGAGGAAGGTACGTGGGGAATCCAGAAGGGCTCTCCAGAGTCCGCAGAGCACAGCCTGTTCCTGCGTTGTTAGTAGAAGCAGTTTTGGGAAGTGTCGTCACACAGGATGTAAGGTCTGAGGAAGTTCTCAGCCACTTTTCCTTACACGTGTGTTGTTTTCTTTCCAGGAGAAATACATGGAGGCTTTGGAAAATTTAGAAAATACAAATAAATAGTAAGAAGAAAATAAAAACAAATTCCACCCCAAGACGATTATTGATAATATTTAAGTATATATCCTAACAGAGTAGGTTTACATATGCATTTGTGTATGTATACATATATGTTTTCTTAAATTGGATTTTTACTCTTTTATGAACTTTTTTTTTTAAAGATTTTATTTATTTATTTATTCATTTGAGAGAGAGAGAATGAGAGATAGAGAGCATGAGAGGGAAGAGGGTCAGAGGGAGAAGCCGACTCCCCGCCGAGCAGGGAGCCCGATGCGGGACTCGATCCCGGGACTCCAGGATCATGACCTGAGCCGAAGGCAGTCACTTAACCAACTGAGCCACCCAGGCGCCCCTGTTTTATGAACTTTAAACTGGATACATTTGGAACATTTTTCTAAGTCATATTTCTATATAATATTAATGGCTGTACAATACAATGATATGGGTGTGTCAATTTTCTTGATACATCTTTTTTTTTTGGACACTTAGGTTGCTTCTGAATTTTTTTTTTATTATAAAGACATCCATGGGGTAAAGTTTTTGCATTTATTCATAATTATTTTCCTATGATTAATTTCTGGAAATGAACTTGCTAGATGAAAGTAAATGTAAACTTACCCCATTTGCTGTACAGAAAAGCTGTAATTATTTATATCATCAGAGTGTAATTTGCCATGTCCAAAGCAGCAACTAGGCATGACCATAATTTTTAATCTTTGCTAATTTGATTCAGAACAAAGGAACACTTCTGAACATTTTATGAAAGGGTTTACTGCCCTCTTGTTAGTTACCCCTCTGCATGTTTGCTTACTTTCCTAATGGAGCATTTATTCTAAGAGTACTTTAAAGATGAACTCCCTGCTAGTTATTTCTGTTTCCATTTATGTTTTGAATTTTGTTTGTGGGATCTTTGTTTTTATTAGTAAGTTTAAAGTTATGAGGTAGTCAGGTCTGTCTTTCCTTGTTTTGGTTGTTGATGTAATGCTCAGAGAGCCTTTTCCCCACACCAGGATTACGTAAGTAGTTGCCTGTATTTTGTTCTGGGTCCTTACAATTTTTTTAACACTTAAATCTTTAATCCCCATAGAATTGATTTTGGTGATAGGTATGTGGTTGTAATCTAACTTTACGACTGAGGAGTTTGGTCATGGAGCTTGCCAGCACGTTTTTCTTTAGGAAGGTTATCCTGGCAGAGATGAGCAGAGTGCATGGGAATCAGATGAAGGAGAGGAGTCGGGAGGCTGCTGGGCAGCCACGGGCTGGGGGGTGGTGGCAGGAGTGGGATCCATGGGGACTAAGCCGAGAAGGAGGTCAGGGCCCTGTGGCTGGAGGGCGAGCGGTGACCCACTGTTGGGTGTGAGTAGAGGAGGCCCTCGGTGGGAGGAAAGGGCAGTTCCATTTGGGGTTCAGTTGAGATATACTGATGATGCTCCCGAAACTGAGTCTGAGCCAAAAATATGACATGTCAGCAAGCATGTTCTGCAAAGAGCTGTGCGTCACCATGTGATGGATGCCACCACTTATTACTGAGCACCCGCAGTGGTTTTGGGGAATCAGAGATGACTACACAGTGGTGCCTGGTTTTAGGAATCTCCCTGTGAGGGAGCAGATGCGTGAACTGCCAAGGACAGAGGCTGGTAGGGTGCGTGGTGCTCTGCTCACAGAGGTCACACATCTCACAGGAGGGACTAGGGTTGGTGGAGTGTAGGACGCATTCACAGCTGGGGAGAAGGTGACAGGAGTGACAGGGACGGGCTGTGGAGGACGGGGGCATACTTGCCATGCTGAGGAGTTTGCTCGTGGTTTTCCATATCAGGGTGAAGGCAGGAGTGCAGTGCAGCCACTACTACCCAGTGGGTTGTGTGGCCAGCAGCGGGTTTTTCTTTCCGGAAGCACATCTTTAGAGTCAGGGTAGAGGAGTGAGTGCAGTGTAGCTTCGCGCACGTGTGAAGGATGGCAGCCCACGTTTCATATGCTCATGCGTTTTTCCATCTGTCCCACTCAAAGCTGCAGTACGGTGACGGTAAAGACAATCCTCTGAAGTACTGGCTGTATAAAGAAGAAGGTGAAAGGAGACACAGGAAGCAGAAAGAACCAGATCGAGAAAGGAAACATGGAGAAAAAAGCAGCACAAGGGAAAAAAGAGAAAAGTATCCAAAAGAAAAAAGTAATTCCTTCTCTGACAAGGAGGGGGAAGAAAGACACAAGGGAAAACGACACAAGGAAGGTTTTCAGTTCGATGAAGAGAGGCGCCAGAGTAACACGGCTAAAAAAGAGAGGTTGTCAAGAGAAGACCTTAAGAAAAGAGAGTCCAAGGTACCGTTTCTGATGCTTCCTGGCCTCTGTAGTCACCCTGAGGCTGGCACTCTTAGAAGAGTTTTCTCTCTCTGTAGCCAGAGGGTAAGATTTGTCGCCTTTGTAGAAACGTGATCCAAGTCTGTGTAATGTGATCGGTACAGAGAAATTGCTGATACAGTAGGAAATATGAAGCCAGATTTTCTGATTATATTGTGAATGTACTTTTATTTGTTTTTTTAATTTTATTATGTTATGTTAGTCACCATACATTACATCATTCGTTTTTGATGTAGTGTTCCATGATTCATTGTTTGCGTATAACACAACACCCAGTGCTCCACGCAGAATGTGCCCTCCTCAATACCCATCACCAGGCTAACCCATCCCCCCGCCCCCTCCCCTAAAGCCCTGTTTGTCTCTCAGAGTCCATCGTCTCTCATGGTTCGTCTCCCCCTCCGAATGTACTTTTAACATGTACTCAGAAATCTATCATGAAATTGAAATTTTGAAGATGATATTAAGTGGAAAGTAAATTAATAATACAGCAAAATGTTTGAATCAGAATTAGTAGTGTAGGTTTACAAAACAGAACACAAAAATAAAACTATTGATTGCAAAGGGTCTAATTTTCCTGCCGTGTATATTGATAAAATAACTGCCATTGCTCAATATTTTCCTATACTAATTGTATCTTTTGTTCTCATGTATATACTTTTTGCTGTGCTGTTTTTCCAGACTCTGAAGCAAAGGGATTTCATTCTCCTGTTTCTCAGTGGTGCTCCCTTTCAGGTGCAAGCAAAGTGAGGGTCAGGTGCTGTGAGGCTCAGGAGGGTCAGGCCTTCAGGGGCAGAGACTGGGACCTCTGATTGACTGGTGCCCATCCATGAAAGTATGTGTAAGTCTTTTTAGGGAGGGTTGCTTAAGAATGTCCTGAAAAATCTTTGCAGTTGCTGCCTGGCCTCGTGCCCATCCTGGCTGCCTTTTTGCCGAGTGTGATAAATCACCTCTGCACCTGCCGCCTCCCGTGCCTTTGCCCACACCTTCCCTCACAGCAGGACCCTCACGGGCCCCCACCCTGGCACCTGCAACCTCTGCCCATGGTCAGGACATATGTCATCTGACAGCAGCAGTTTTGTTAACCACATACACACGTGTATCTTGAGCCCCTGGACTGTTTCCCTTGCTAACAGTGTCAACGAGCTTAGGGACCGGAATTGAGAATGGACCCTCACAGACAGGTGTGTCTTCCTCTTGTGTTTTAAATCTCTTTCCCTAGATCAGAATCCTTTTAGTGTGTTTTTCCCAATTTTTTATTAGGAACATTTTTAAACATACAGCAAAGTTGACAAGTTTCCACCACCTAGATCCTACCACTAACATTTTAATAAACTTGCCCATTTTACATTCCCTAGATCAAATTTAGTGACTAAACACAGCCTGTTTGGTTTCCCACAGAAATGCCTTTCTGAGTCTTGTCACAATATACACATTTGGCTTTTATTAACGCTGGATATAAGAAATAGCCCATGTTAATAAAACCACTGCCTTCAACAATGCTCCTTCCATGAGGATTAACATAATAATTAGTCCCCCTTGAGAGACTCTTCTGATGGATGACCAACTTTTTTTTTTTTTTTTTTGATAATTTGTTCCTATCTGTGGAGGGGCTACTCTGTGCTGGCCTTTGTTCCGTATGCTGAGGACATGGCTGTGACCAAAAGTGTTTATTTTTGTGGCGCTCACATTTCACTGGAGAAGCCATATAAAGAAAGAAACAAATGCGTATACAGTATATTGGAGTGATTAGTGAACATTATGTGTTTAACGTTTTTCTTTGCCTGGACTTTCAGATACTCAAAATATGCTTTTTAACTTAGTTATTATGCTAGCCTGGAGACTGATGTGGTTGCTGCTGAGGTGACCATAAAGTACAAGGGGGCACTATTAATAACTATGCTGGGACCACGGGTACAAACCAGGACTGTTCCCCGGGATTGTGTTCTCCTTTGTTCTCTCTCACTTTCTCTATGTGATTTTTTTTTTTTTAAGATTTTATTTATTTATTTGGGAGAGAGAGCTAGAAAGAGAGCATGAAGGGGGGCAGATGGAGAGAGGAGGAGCAGGGAGCCCGATGCAGGACTTGATACCAGGACCGTGGGATCATGACCTGAGCCAAAGGCAGACGCTTAACTGACTGAGCCATCCAAACATCCCTCTTTGTATGATTTTTGATCTGTTATTTTAATTGTGTACCTCCTCCAGTTTTTTCTTTCCTTTCCTTTCCTTTTTTTTTTTTTTTTTTTTTTTTAAGTAGGCTTCACACCCCACATGGGGCTTAAACTCACAACCCTGAGATTAAGAGTCACGTGCTCTACTGACTGAGCCAGCCAGGTGCCCCCTTCTCCAGTTTTCCATTAGGGATGGAGAGGGCATGATTAAGCATAATAACTATAACAAAGTGTCTTCTAGTTATTTATTAGAAGAATCCTGCGTGATGATCCCTCTTTTACTGCTGCTGAACATGGACCCTGCCCCTCTCTGCTTCTGGGGTAGTGACTTCACCACAGGTCCCTGTGGGCATCTGTTTCTAGCCCAGCACCCTCCCGGCCAGCCCACACGGCTTGGGAACAAGGCACTGAGCTGTTCATGATTACTTTTTCTTCTTCTTCTTTGTACCTAGATAGCCATTAAATCATAATTTTTTCTACCTGGCAGGACTGATTTCATTTTTTCCCCCATTCCAATCTATTTAACAGACTGATGCCAGACTGCTCTTCCTGTTAAACATGTAATTATACTTTTCTCCAATTAATTTTGGAAAAAATTTTAAATACAGGAAGAATAAAAAAACAAAAACAAAATTTATCTGTGATCTCAGAGATAATCCATTTTGTAATAAGTGTGTACATACTTACAATTCTTTTTCCCATATGTAAATGAACGCAAAATTGGAATCATGGCTATTTTTTTCATGGTATTCTGGGAAATAGTTTTTTTTTTTTTAAAGATTTTATTTATTTATTTGACAGAGAGACACAGCGAGAGAGGGAGCAAAAGCAGGGGGAGTGAGAGAGGGAAAGCAGGCTTCCCGCGGAGCAGGGAGCCCGATGTGGGGCTCGATCCCAGGACCCTGGGACCATGACCTGAGCCGAAGGCAGACGCTTAACAACTGAGCCACCCAGGCGCCCCTGGGAAATACTTTTTAGTAATTGGGTGTTTAATGGCTATCTGGTACTCTTTCATGTGGTCATAACCTTATTTATTTAACAAGCAACCTAATATGGAACATTGAGGTTACTAATATTTTTTTTTTATTTCATAAATTATTTGGTGATAAACAGATGGAAAGCCTTAATACATGTCTTTGTTTTCTAGGAATAATTTCCTAGAAGTATTTATAGATGAAAGAGAGTGAATTTTTTTTTTTTTTTTTTTTTAAAGATTTTATTTGAGAGAGTGAGAGAGAGAGCACATGAGAGGGGGGAGGGTCAGAGGGAGAAGCAGACTCCCCGCTGAGCAGAGAGCCCGATGTGGGACTCGATCCCGGGCCTCCAGGATCATGACCTGAGCCGAAGGCAGTCGCTTAACCAACTGAGCCACCCAGGCGCCCCAAGAGAGTGAATATTTTTAACTTTTTTTTTTCATTTTATTATGTTATGTTAATCACCATACATTACATCATTAGTTTTTGATGTAGGGTTCCATGATTCATTGTTTTTGTATAACACCCAGTGCTCCATGCAGTACGTGCCCTCCTTAATACCCATCACCAGGCTAACTCATCCCCCCACCCCCTCCCCTCTAGAACCCTCAGTTTGTTTCCCGGAGTCCATCGTCTCTCATGGTTCATCTCTCCCTCCGATTCCCTCCCCCCTTCATTTTTCCCTTCCTTCTCCTAATGTCCTCCCTGCTGTTCCTTATGTTCCACAGATAAATGAAACCATATAATTGACTTTCTCTGCTTGACTTGTTTCATTTAGCGTAATCAAGTCAAAAAATGGGCAGAAGACATGAACAGACACTTCTCTGAAGAAGACATACAAATGGCTAACAGACACATGAAAAAATGTTCATCATCATTAGCCATCAGTGAAATTTAAATCAAAACCACACTGAGATACCACCTTACACCAGTTAGAATGGCAAAAATGGACAGGGAAAGAAACAACAAATGTTGGAGAGGCTGTGGGGAAAGGGGAACCCTCTTACACTGTTGGTGGGAATGCAAGTTGGTATAGACACTTTGGAAAACAGTGTGGAGGTTCCTCAAAAATTTAAAAACAGAGCTACTGTATGACCCGGCAATTGCACTCCTGGGTATTTACCCCAAAGACACAGAGGTAGTGAAAAGAAGGGCCATATTTTTAACTGTTTTTAAGACTTTTGGTACACGTTGTGTATTGCTCTCTGGACTTTCTTGGTGGGTCATTTAGTCCTGCCTTTTCTGCTCTGCACTTTTTATCTTCATGGAGCAGTCCCCAGGTCTGTGAGCTTTCTCTGTCCTGGGGAGCACTTGCCCTGGTACCCTGGGGTCTTCACCTGTCACATTCCGGCCTCATGCCCCTCCCTCTAGGCCATGCTTCCAGCCAGTACTTGCTCAATAGATGCCTCTTTCTTTAAACCACCTACCTGGATTTCTTGGCTTGCAATCTGATGGTTTTAATTTTATTTTTACAAATTCACTTGATTTAAGAGAATTATAGACGTAGAATTTATAAATCAGTTGTTTAAATTTTCTTTTCTATAGGTGGATGGATCTATGAAATAGCCACATTATGTTGGAAAGTTCATAATTTTAAAGCAGTATAAGGAACTTGTCAGATTTATCTGAAAGTAATGTGAAATTGATAAGTAGAAATGTCTTTTACTTACTGAGATAACGTATAATCTTTTAGTATACCTTTACTCATCTTCTTTGCATTAATTATGTAATCGGCTGAAGGTAGCTGGTCAAAAACAGTAACACCTGTGGTGTCGATGCTTTTGTTAAATTTGGAGTCCATGCTTGTTGTACAGAGTTTACAGTTACAGTGACTTCATTATGATATGCTAATGAGTGTCATGGAATGTTTTGTTTCATAGAACAGTGAGCACCGAAACCGGGGTGCAAGTTCAAGGAGAGATCCCATCGGCAGCCGGGAAGGAACGTGCGTTCTCTGGTGACTGTTGTGTGCCCCGTCCTTCTCGTAGAATGTTCGAACATGAGTCTTTCTTACGGGGCCTGATGATAGCCAGTAAATGAGAATGAATTATAGATACGCTTCATTTACTCTTGATATAGCCCCTCCAAATTATATTCTAGGTGCACCTGAGGAGCTTGGAACTTTTTATAAATTCTTAGTCCTATTTTGTTTGTTTTCTATTTACTCACATGAACTTGGACATCAGTACTCACTTTGGGGTGTGAGTGTGTGAGAGGCGGTTCCAGCCCTGTAGTACTCGATACCTGGAGAGGGCGGAGTTTCTGCAGGTGGGCTCCCACCCCTTTCACTGCCACCAGTGCCCCGACCAGTCAGGGTGCGGACAACAGAGGAAGTCTGTCTATAGCCACAGCCAGGGCACGGACAGCAGCCTGCTGGAACGGCACGTCTGCCTCTGCTGGGCGTGTTGGGCGGCCCTCCAGAGCTCTTTCTCTGCTGCTACAAGTCTAGTAACAGTACCTGTTTTGTGTGGGTTTTGTGAAGATCACAGATTAGAGCTTGTATGTAAAATCTCATTTTGTACATAAGCTCTAGATTTCTTTTTTAAGTTTTTATTTAAATTCCAGTGTAGTTCACATACAGTAATGTTCGTACCAGGTGTACAATGTAGGGATTCAGCACGTCCGTGCACCAGCCGGTGCTCATCCCCATTCTGTTTCCCCTGTTTCCGCCCCCCCCCCCCCCCCGCCGCCCCTCTGGTCACCAGCAGTGTGTTCTCTGGAGTTAAGAGTCTGTTTCTTAGTTTGCCTCTCTTTTTTCTCCCTTTCCTCCTTTGTTTCAATTCTTAAAGTCCACATATGAGTGAGATCATATGGTATTTGTCTTTCTCTGACTGACTGATTTCACGTAGCACAATACTCTCTCGCTCCATCCATGTTACTGCAAATGGCAGGATCTCATTCTTTTTGGGGGATTGACTAATAAAATTACAGGAGTGTTCTAGAAGTCTCATAAGGATAGAGAGTCATACACACATACAACTTTGTCAAAACACATAGTTTCTTCTCTCTGCTGAGGCTGTTTTCTTTCTTGGATTGCTGCTGAAATACCAACAATGTAGGAAGACTTTAGTATCCACAGTTGTAATGAGACCTGTCAGACACTGATAAGAGCCTTTGCTGAAGTATAAAATGCTTTATGTTTCAAGTCTTTGTTTGAAATTAATTTTGAATTTGATCATACTTTCTAGGTATGCAGAGAATTTAGTAAGAAATAATGGAAAAGATAAAGACTCAAGAAGGAAGGTAAGACATTTATGTTGACTTTATTTTGCAGCAAGATTAGCCATGAGGCTCAGTTTGTGATGCCCTGGAAAGCAGAGCCTGAGACAGGCCTTGCCTGCAGATGGGTTGATTTGAGTGGTAATTCCAGGAGGACATAGTGGACACATTTAGATTAAAAGGCTCAAATAGATTGAAAGTAGAAAAAGGGACCAGATAAAGCGTCACGTGGCAACTGTGTCAGAGCTGGAGTGGCTGCGCTCGTGTCAGCAGGATCGACTCTGAGACGGAATGTTAGTGAAGTGGAGGGCCTTTCCTAGTGATAATCAGCTCGCAGGGAGAGGTCACAGTTATAAATGAGCCCGTACCTAACAGAGGAGCTTCAAAATACAGAATTAAAGGGAGGAATGGAGGGTGCCCCCTTTGACCAGGGGATAGAGCGATAGCATTTCATGGCAGCACATTATGCCCCTCAGGGGAAGGGACAAGCTCCTGGAGACAGGAACCCCCACAGCTGTCTCCGGAAGAGGTCGGAAGTCTGGCAGGTGAGCACATTGGCTCAGTGTTAGTCTTCCCGCAGGGAGGCCCAGGCTCCGGTGACCTCGTGGGCAAGTTCTGTCCCACATTTGTTACCAACACCAGCACACCACACATGGTCCTGCCCTCTCGTGTCACTGTCTCCTGCGTGTGGAGGGCTGTTCCCGTCTTTGTGTTTCTTACCATCATCGTACATCAGAATCGTCTTCATAGTGAATATTTAGTAACTATGAAGTGGTTGACGCTGGGGGGTTAATTATCATCCAACCATTTTCCTAGTTTGTTGTTTTTTATCATAGGTAATGTGGCAAGCAGATTTGGGTCATTATTTCTGAAGAATAATTTTTCCTGTCACTTTCTTTGGTAGTTATCTGAAACCCATGACCCTGAGATAATCATCTTTAACGTTTTGTGCCATATTTTTGTGTATCTCTTTATTCCATATGCATACACAGAAACACATGGAATTTTACATAAATTAGATCGATCGCAGGGCGTGTGTTATTTTGATGTGGGTATGTTTTATTCATTCAGTTTTGGGGAGTGGTTGGATCACTGACCATCTAGCTAAAGCCACACCTAGGGACAAACGTTAGCCTTACGACAACTTCTTCCCAGGTAATCTTTTTGCTGTATAGTCTTTTATACTTGTATATTAATATATATATTTGGGAGCTGGGGATGCCTTTTTTCTGTTTTGCACACGCACTCCCACCCCCGATGCAGCATCCTGTTTTTCCCAATTCATTGTTCGAATGATGCAGATCTGCCTCACAGTTTTTGTGGATAAATTCTTGAACTGGAGTTGTTGGATGAAAATATATAGATTTTATAGTGTTTTCCTTACGTCTCCCAATTCTTCTAATGAGCTCTAGATTAGCGCTGTTCACTAGAGTTACAATGTCAGCCACATTTATAGTTATAAATTCTCTAGTAGTCATATTAAAAAAGCAAAAAGAAACAATTCATTTTAATAACATGTTATATAATCCAGTATTTCTGGAATACTATTATTCTTTCAACATGTGATCAATATAAAAATTATCAGTAAGATATTTCACATTCTTTTTCTTGCCAACAGAGCAAAATTTGTGATATATTTTTCCCCTGAAGCACTCTTGAAGGTACTTGACATCTCATTTTGGCTTATGATTAGGTCATTTGTTTCATAGCATCAACACTGAGTTTGTCTTGGTTTAATTCTTCAGCATTATGAGAAGCCTATCGTACACCAGAGTAATTTTCTGGACACATGGAAAGCTCCTTATTCTCTTCATGGTAATACGCCATCCCGTCCCCAGTTTTGGGCACTGGCTAGTTGTGGGTAGTGGTGTCTAGGACTTGGGTCTTCCTCGTGCCAGTGACCACAACAGGAATGGAAATCAGCGTTTCCCTCACTGGCACAGGGTCACTTTATCTGCCCCTGTCACTAGGAGATAGGTCCACTGGTGCCCCCTCATCTGCAGTTTTGGACACCTGTGGTCAGCAGGGATCTGGAAGCAGATGGCCCTCCCCTGACGCATCGTCAGAAGGTCAGGCTAGGCAGACGCTGCGTCACACGCCTGCGTCGCTCACCTCCCTTCATCTTGTCCCGGGGGCATTCTGTCATCTCAGGTCATTACGAGAAGGGTGAGTGCAGGATGGTAAGATATGTTGAGAGAGTCCAGAGTCACATAACTTTTATTACAGTATATCGTTATAATTGTCTTATTGTATTATTAGTTATTCATTTTTTATGCTTTATCATAGGTATGTATGTGTAGGGAAAAACGTAGTATGTATAGGGTTTGGTACCGACCACAGTTTTAGGCCTCCGCTGGGGGGCTTGGCAAGCATCCTGTGGCTGGGAACCACTGTACTGTTGTTATGCCCATTTCTCAGAGGAGAAAACTGAGGCACCGAGGATACTTGCCCTCGGTGATCTTGTTTGTATACCTTGGGGCCAGAACCCCAGTCCTCAGCCACTGAGGGCAGCGCCTCCGTGGGGCGTGGGGCGGGCTCTGGGATTGCCCTGGAGACCCTCCCTGTGCTGGCTGACTGGCTCTGCTGTCTCCCAGCACATCCGGGAAGAGGGCGCCTCCGTGTGGAAGCTGGCTCAGAGGCATGGGAGAGAAGAAATGGCGGTAAGCAGGGCGCATCTTTCCGTTTTTGGTGCTCCTGTCCAAAGGTGTGCTTTTACTGGTGATTCTTTGCTTTCATAGTACCTGTTTATTAGGGTAATTATTACTCCTTTTAGACCACAGAGCATAGGTGTGAATAGGTTTCCGTGTAACACTGGAGAGTCTGGGGTGCTGTTGAGGGCTGGAAGAGTATTGGCTCCTTGTGCACGTGCTTGGACGCCGTGGCCGTCCTCCGTGGGGGCGGGGGCGGGGTTTGCAAAGAGCATGGCAGGGAAGAGGGTCCAGCCAAGGGAACAGCCAGCCTTCTCATCATTGCTCTGTATTTATATTCGAGCGGGTTGAGGAGAATTGAAGAAACCAACTAGAGACATCTCAGAAGATGTGATTCATTATCAGTGAAACAGAGTCAAGGTAATAGGTAATTTTCAGAAATATATGCCAAACTAGGGAGATCAAGGAAATGGCACTATCTTCTTTTAAGGAGAGATCATTGATAACTCTGAGTACTTTCCAAAGCTGATGAGTGAAAAGCACCATGGCGCCCCACTTAAGGCCCCAGGGAAGGGGTGGTTGAGCTCCTGCTGGTGGTACTTTGTTGTCATCGTCCCTGGCTGGGCTCTGGCTCCACAAAGAGTGATGTGTCAGCCCTGTGGTCCCCTGGCAGAGTGCCTGGCACACCCTGGGGGCGAAGCGTTTGCCGGCCGAGTGGAGGGATCACCTTGGACGTGGTGCAGAGTCCCTGTGGGTATGTGTGTCAGGGGTCCGGTGCACGGGAACAGGGTTCAGCAGTGTGAGGCTGCAAGGTTTGCTTAAAACTCCTGCAAAACCACAGCATTTGTTTTTGTTTCTCTTATCACTTAGTAGGTGTCCTGTCTGTTGGTGCAGTAAATGTGGTGTGCATCATTCACTTTAATGTCCAGTGACTTTATATGACAGTGTGCCAAAAAGGATCTTTTTTAGGGGACAGTTTTTCCTATAAAGTATCTGCATAAAATAACTCTTCCCCACCCCCAGGCAATGAGGTGTCCTTAGTAATCCTTTCAGTCCTGTGGGCATACAAGAATGTGCCTATTTAGAAAGTCAGACCAGGTAGCCACTTAGAGGAACAGCTGGGTTGTGGCATCAAGCGTTGGTTTTGGGCATTGTTTACTGCACAGCACTGCACTGGGTTCTAGAGATGAAAGATGCACTTCCAGGTGGCAGACTGTGCCACTGGGCGCTTCCTGAGCTCTATCGTCTCCTGGATGCCCCTGTCTCTCTTCACACTCACCATATTCTCGCCCTAGGCCCCCTCTCCCTCCTCTGTGCCTGTTTTGGTTGAGGTGCTGACATCCATCCAGTTTTCGCCCCTGAAAACTTGGGGTCATTTTTTACCCTGAAGCCAGGCCACTGTTTTCCTGCCCCTTTGCCCCCCAGGCCCATGCTGCCTGTGGCCAGAGTTCCACTTTACTGTTTCCCCTCCAGAGTAAGAACCGGAGCCCTGGTGAATGTGTGGTGTGTGGGGGCCATCCGGCAGGGGCGTGAAAGCAGGTGTGGTGCAGTCATGCTTCGTTCTAAAGAAGGATGTCTCTGAACTTCAGTGAATGAGAGGGGACATGGCCGGGATGGGGGTGCTGGGCTGACGATGATGGTGGGGGAGGGTCGGGGCCTGGTGGGGGCTCCTGTGACGTGGAAGAGCAGATGTGGATAAGAAGAGGAACAGCTTTTGGAGGGAAAATATGAGTTTTCTAAACATCTGTTTCATTTCTGCTACCCTCTTATCCTGGAAACCTGGAATATGTTTCTACTCAGTTTTCCGGGTACCTAGGCCAGGATGGCTTTGGGAATGATGTGTGCAGCCTCCCCACACCTCCAGAGCCTGACGGAGCGCCCCTCCTACTGTGTTTATTCCCCGGCCTGGAGTGCTGGAGTGATGGGGCAGGTGTGCTCTGATTCTGAGGGGCCAGGATTTGTGCAGCTTGTCTACCGCTCAGTGAAGAGGAGAGGGCCGCACTAGCGCCTCATCAGGGTTGTGGTGGTTTCTCAGAAAGGATGAGTTCATTAACTTTTCCTCTTTACGGTCGTATTTACCACTTAGGAAGGTATTTCTTAAAGAATTTGAAGTTGGATTATGTTCATTTTATAAATACATTTTAAAATTAGCAACATCAAATTAATCTTAACATTTTCCCAACCTATTTGCAAGATTCAAATTTATGATTGAATTTTTGTGTGTTTTTTACCTCTAGGAAATTGAAAAGGAAGACATGGATTCAGAAAATGCTGGAGCTGATGAATATACAGCTTGCTTTGAAGATGATTTTGAAGTTTGTATAAAAGTTAAAATTTTTCTCGGCTTAAAAATAATTTGTTCTAAAATCTGCTTAATTATATTAATAGCTTTATTTCTCTTTTTGTTACTCTTAATACTCTATATCTGTTTGATTTAGGCTTGTTGCCAATAAAAAGTGCTACACTATCAGTGCTTACCAATGCAATATAATTAAATGATTTTACAATTTAACCTATTAAGTGCACTGCATCCAAACATGTATGTTTGTATTGGAATGGATATCTCTGTGTGTATAGGGTACATATATTCACACACACACACACACACACACACACACACAGTCACATTCTTAGCACAAAAATGTTAGCACGTTATTGTTACTGACACCTGTCAGTGTATGTAAATCTATACAGCGTGATTCATTTTTAGAGAAAAAGGCAGCAGTTTATACAGATCTATAACTCAGTGGCATTGGTGTCTGTTAACTGTAAAAATCTTTCTTAGCCATAATGAGCATTTTGTCTGTTTTAAATTCTAAATTGTTTGTTCTGTTCTGTACGTGTGTTCTTTAAAGTTAGTTTGTCTAAAGGTTCCAAAACTGTGATTATTGTTTTTAGGATTACGAAGATGACTTTGAGGTTTGTGATGGAGATGATGATAGCTTTAACGAGCTGGAACCAAAAGAGAAAATCGAAGAGCTTCCTCTGGCCAGAAAGAAGGAGATACAGGAGATTCAGAAAGCCATTAATGCAGAAAACGAAAGGATCGGCAAGCTGTCCTGCAGACTGTCTCAGAAGCCAGGTCTGCTGGAGGGTGAGAGGGTTGTGAGGACAGGCTCACGCATCCGTCTCAGGACAGTGGGCGCCCACACCTGCAGGATCCTTGAGTGCGGAGTCCTTCTAACTAGGTGGCAGATGCGTGAGCGTCGTGTGCTCCCACAAGGGTGCCGGCACTCCCACAAGGCACTCAGAAGATACCGGCCCTGTGTGTTCAGGACTGTCTGAGGGAGAGAAGCTGCGCATGGCCTCCCTGGTCAGCGCCTGCAGCCTGTGGGTGGCTGTGAGCACAGGCCCTTCTGGGGGCGCTCACACAGGAACCGCCGGTCCTGCATGTGGCCCTGTTCACTTTCCCCTTCCTGTCAGTTGGCCCGTCTGCAGTGCATGCTCTGTTTTCTGGCCACTCTCTTCGATTTTCACAAAGGAGAGTGACCAGGTCGGCGGGAGGCTCAGAGCAGATGAGAGCCTATGTGGGCGGTGGCTGCAGAGCTGAGGGCTGGTTCAGGGAGACAGGTTCAGGAATGTGGCCCACCGGACGTGTCTCAAGAGCACTCCTAAGTGAGCCCTTCTTTCCCAGGGATTTCCTGTACGAAATTAGAAATGTGTTCTGCCCAAAAATTCTTGGCATTGTGCTATGATAAAGTCACTTGTAAGAGTAGAAGTAAATATTTTAAAGTCACTTAAAGGGAAAGCTATGACATTCTGATAAAAAATTAGCATTAAACATAGCACCAAAGGTCAATAGGACAATATTAAAAATATTACTGGATGATATACTACTTTAAATTATCTAGTAAAACAATTAGCAATTAATACAACTAATTAGGTTAGTAGTTAATATAATAATCCAAATGAAAGGCAGAATGATAATTATCCTCATTTTTTTTTTTTTAAGTTTTATTTATTTAAGTAATTTCTATACTTCACGTGGGGCTCAAACTCATGACCTGGAGATCAAGAGTCACCTCTTCCGACCGAGCCAGCCAGGCGCCCCTGGGACCCTTGTATTTTGCGCTTGCCACAGACGAGGCAGAACTGAGCTGGCGAGTGCTGATACATAGAATCTTCTCTAAGCTTATAGTGAAACCAGTGTTTTGGAAGCCAGGGGAGCTGTCCCGCCCGAAAGAAATATTTCAGTTTCAGAAAATCGCTTTCTTTTTTTGTACAGATGAAAACAGTTCCCCTGCCAGAGCCCCTGTATGTGGAATTTTCGTTGATTTTGCAACAGCCTCACGCCGTCAGAAGAGTCGGACTCAGGCCCTTAAGCAAAAGTAGGTGTGTTGGGAATTTGTGAAGGGTATTATGGAATTTTAATATACTTCAGTATGCTTTAAAAAAATAGAGCTTTTCTTTTTCTTTTTCTTTTCACTACTGACGTTATGTACGTTTTTAAATTTGTGCTACGTCTCTCCGTGTTCCACTGTCGTGTTAATAGTGGAAGTGCATTCCACTGTCGTGTTAATAGTGGAAGTGCACCGATGTCTACTACTGCTTGGCGTCCAGCGTTTGTAGATTCTGGAGTCACCCCGGGAGTCACACCCTGTTTTGGCTGAGGCGGGGTCACAGCCCTGTGCTCCTTGAACTGAATGAGCTTGGCCCCCCTTGCGTCTCCGCGTGGGGCTCCCACTCGAGGTGCAGCGAGCGCCACCTAATGCTCGCACACTGGAGAGCTCAGTGTTCCTGTGTCCGTTTCTCAGAGGAGGAGGCTGAGCAATTTGTAAGGGTCAAGAGTGCTAACAGCTGGGTGCACATAGTGCGAGTTTCCCTCTGTGTCCCAGGCACTGTGCTCCCTGTGTGTCAACTACTTCATTCCCTGCAGCCCCATTTTACAGATGAGGAGAGAGAGGCTCAAGTTTGGAACCCAGGGCTCCCAGATGTCACAGTCCACGTTTATAACTTAGAAATTTATAAAATTAGAAATTTATGAAAGTCAAAGGGTATAGTCTCAAGTAAAGGATCTATCATATTAAATTCAAATATGATTTAGAAGTAAATGTAAAAATTAAATGTTTTTTTTTTAAAGATTGTATTTATTTATTTGAGAGAGAGAGAATGAGAGATAGAAAGCATGAGAGGGAAGAGGGTCAGAGGGAGGAGCAGACTCCCTGCTGAGTAGGGAGCCCGATGTGGGACTCGATCCCGGGACTCCAGGATCATGACCTGAGCCGAAGGCAGTCGCTTAACCAACTGAGCCACCCAGGTGCCCCAAATTAAATGTTTTTTAAAAGCCATCATTCCATCTGGCTCAAACATGACCTTAGTGGGTACTCAGGAAACTTTGCTTAATGAACAAATAAATCATGAATAATAATAAGTTTTCATATCATTTTTGTTGTCCTTATAAAATATAAGGTAGTAAAATCAGTGTTTGCCACTATGGCTAGGTTTTGTTTTTGCTTTAACCTCATTCAAGTCTTGGAAACTACATATGGTTTAGTATAGTTTTTATAAACTCAGAGAAAATCAGAACCACACAGTGTGATGTTTAGGCATATATAAATGTAAGATGAAATTATATTTTACAAAGCAAGAAGATGATAGTTACCAAGTTCTGTATACTGATTGTCACGGGCAGTGGGGGGCCCTTTGTGGGCACAGGTCATCCCACGGTTTCTGGTTCTGCGGTTGGGCAGCAGTTCATGGGATGTTACCGTATTATGATACATAAGTGTACGTGTGTTACATGAATTATTTCAGGTCAGAAATTATACTGAATATGGAGGACTGGAGGTACTAATTGGGGAAGGTGTGACAGTGGCCAGAGAGTAAGGTTATGGAAAGGTGGCAGTTAGTGGGAAAGCCCGAGAATGGGCACATACGGATGGGGAGGGAGCAGATCTCATTTGTGAGCTGCCCAGGTGGTGGAGACCATTCCCCACATGCAGATTGAACACCAGCTCTGTGGAAATCATAGTAAATGAAAGAAAGCAAACACTCTGGCCAGGCAGAGCTCATCTTCCAGTGGGGGTGATGAACAGTGAATACAGGGCTTGATCCCTGGGCACGCCACATGAGGGTGCCTGGAAGGAAAGAGAGACCAGCTTAGGTGAGTGGAGAGGAACGGTGTGCGAGGCCAGGGGAATCCACGTGCAAGCAGCATCTTGCCGGCATTGTCGGGTGGGAGGGGCGATGGACTGTGGTATGTGCTGCTTGGCTACTTCCTGTCTGGTCATCTCAGAAGAGTGCCTAAAAGACAGCGTGCACCTGGCCACAGCCCAGGTGACATCACAGAATGTAATCCTTCTGATCAAGACATCAATTCATGAAGCAAAATAATTGCTTTCCATGAAAATTCTAGGCATGCAAATATTATAACTTTATTTTGTGTTCACCTCAGGTGCACGGAATTAGAATAATCAAAAATTTGGTTCATTCTGTAGTCACATTGCTGGTGCATGCATGACTGCCTTATTATTCACAACTGTTAAATACCTCAGACTCACAGCCCCAGGAAAATTCGGTCCTTGATAATTACCTGATCTGATTATAAGGTTCCTTATGCTCTCCCTGTACTTTCCTTTGTATATTATTAACTTTTCTCTTGTTTCCAATTTATTTTAAAGGACACGCAGTACAAAGCTGCTTCGGCTCATTGACTTAGATTTTTCATTCACTTTCTCTCTCTTGGATCTACCGCCAGTAAATGAATATGACATGTATATCAGAAACTTTGGGAAAAAAAATACCAAGCAGGTTAGTATAAGATGTATTAACAAGTAGGGTACAGTAAGGTATACTTGTGCTATACTGTATCTTGTTCCAGAATGTTAGAGCTTGGGAATAGTGTGGGAAGGATGTAGACTTGAGGAAGAGGGAACCCCTTCATCATGTGGTGCTCATTAACCTGGAGAGATTGTGCACGTGTGCACATGTCCACGAATGCTCCACAGGCTCCTGAGCCCACGTGGAATGGGGCACGCTTCCAAACTTGCAGATGTTTTAAAGTCAAGCAGAGGGATGCCTGGTGGCTCAGTCGTTAAGTGTCTGCCTTCGGCTCAGGTCATGATCCCAGGGTCCTGGGATCGAGCCCCACATCGGGCTCCCTGCTCCGCGGGGAGCCTGCTTCTCCCTGTGCCTCTGCCGCTCCCCCTGCTTGTGCTCCTGCTCAATCTCTGTCGCCCACACTCTCTCCCTCTAGCAAATAAATAAAGTCTTTTTTTAAAAAAAAGTCAAGCAGAATGTTATGTTTGGATCCGTTGCCCATTGTCCCATCTGTTGCATTCCACCCCCCCTCCTCCCTTAACTCGCCATCCCCGCATGCCTCTCTGTTACCTTGCTTTCCTCCTCTCCTCTACCTGCCGAAAGTCCTCAGTGTCCACGTCCGTTCCTTAGGTGAATCCCTTCCTCATGGCTTCCACTGAATTCTTCTTACTCCAGACTTACTACATCCACACCACACACTTTGTACTCCCCTGTAGTATTGTAAGCATGAGTTTCGTAACTGTCCAACTTCCCAACGAGGTTGTAAAGGTTCTGAACATTTTTCTTCTGTCCCTGATGCTGTCATCGGTCAACAGGTGCTTGGGTACACTCCGTCTGTAAGACTCTTTCCATAGGAAGAAGGGCACAGGCAAACCTCAGAAAGCTGACAGATTAGTCTCAGCTTCACAGCTGGCTCCCTCCATCCTTCAGTAGGTTACCTGCTCATCTCAAAGCTATTAGTAACACATTTATCTTTACTGAAGCATAAATAAAAGTTTATAAATTTTTCGAAATAAAAAAAGTTGTGTTTGGTTTGCAAAGACAGAGTATGTTCTGGGAGAATAGGAAGTTGGTGGACTAGGTGGCAGTATTTTCAAACCAAAGCTAAATTGTTTTGTCAGGGATGAGGGAGTTTCTGTATTATGTGAATGAGAAGATTTCTGTGGGGATCCATGTTTGAATAAAGACTGCCAGAAGGAAAGCAGCAAGCACAAAGCAGTGTGTTAAAGCAGAAGGACACTCTGAAGGTGGAGAGGGGGCTAGGTTGTTTTGGGATTGGATGTTATTGGGTCTCTCTGGGCTGGGAGGAGCCGTGTCTAATGGAGGTGCTTTCAGTCCTTTGGGAAACTTCTCCCACAGATTGGGATGGGGAGTTTTTGCCCCTAACAAGGTTGAACTGGAACATCCTGGGGGCCTTTCTCCTAGGGTCGGACTGTACCCGCAAAGCAAACGCATCCTGTAGAGTCTAGGGGTTTCCCTGGGGCAGAGGTGGAGGAGGGCGCATGCTCCACACCTGTGGCTTTTGATCCGTCAGCCCCAAGGTCAGGATGCTGAGCTCCAGGCTTTTAATGCATAGCTTTTTAAAATCACTGTCCTCACCTCCAGCTCCTGACTCTATCACTCCCCTTCTGGGACTTAGGACTCTGCCTCAGGGTCTCCTTCCACTTCTGTCCAATTTTTACCTAACAGTTTAATGTGACTTTTTGAAAATACCTTCAAAAATTAGGCCTGTATGTATCAACATTTAAGACACAAGTGGTCTTTGCATGATTGTTATTTCTACCATAATACCTTTGACAAAAGCAAGAAGACTCACTATTAACTTTAAAAACTTTTGTTTTTTTCTTTCCAGTGATGAGAAATTGCTCTGAAGTTGAGACCCAGTGCTAATTCCAGCATCTCTCTTTTTTTTTAAGGCATATGTTCAGTACAATGAAGATAATGTTGACAGAGACATCCAGACTGAAGAGATAGAGACCAGAGGGGTGTGGACCCAGCACCCCGGAGAGGGCACGGCCGTGTCAGGGGGTGAGCAGGTCTTTGCTCTTGAGCACTGAGTGCAGTGTCTTGACGTTATTTTTGGTGTTGTGTTTATTCCCTTTCCTGTCATTTCTTCCTGTACCGTTTCTTCCAGTGTGGTTGTTAGTGTGTGACTAGGGAGACGCCAGTATTCTTCGCAAGAGCAGACTAGCTTTTGGGAACCACTAACATTAGCACTGAACTAAAGGCCCAATGTGGGCCTTGACCAGGGTTGATAACACTTTTATTCCTAAACAGAGGGAGAGTCCATATTCTAAACAAGTGCTTTCAAATGGGCCTGTTCTCATTAATAGAGAATTTCATATAGGAGGTTCGGTTTCCAGACATGTTGTCTGAGTGTTGGATGGAAGGCCAAGAGAATGCATGGTGCCATGCTTGAGGCCGGTTGCCTTCCTAGTTGATTTTTACTCACAGGATTTACCCTGTGTGTCCAGGGTTCTACTGCTCCCTTTCCTCAGGTAAGCTTCCCCCTAGGAAAAGAAGATACCCAAACACTTACAAAGTGATTAAATTGATGCCTTTAACTATTTCCCTTAGTGTACGTAAGTAGGATTCTCTGTACAGACCTTCCATAAAACAAGGTGCAGTTGTTCTTGAAAAAATCGTGGTAGATCTAGAGAATACAATGTAAAATTCTCTGACTTTTCCTTCCAGGGAAAAGTTTGTAACAACTCTTTGAATCCTAAGGTGTGTAAGACATGAAGTTTAGGGTCCACTTGGTTGGTTCAGTGCAGCCTGCTCTCTTTAGGGAGCATGAGTGGAGATCCCCGTGATGTGGCCGCTGCACTGAAGGTCGACACACCCAGGCTGTCCAGCTTCCTCCGGGCGGCGTGCCAGGTACGTGCTCACTGGGCCCCCGTGTGATGTGTGTCACCACAAGGCTGGCTGTGTACTTGGAGTCCATACTTTAATACCGGTTTCTTACATTTTAACATAAATATAGACTAAAAAACAGACATACTACGTTGTGAAGGCAGGCATACGCTAGGCTATCCGAAATTAATAAATTCATGAGTTTTAACTGAGGAAATTTACAAAATACATACAAAGATGATGGGAATGGTCTGTTGACCCCCATGTACACTGCTGGTTATCGACTCATGGCTGATGGCCTCACCCCACATCCACCTCCAGCTGTTTCTGAACACTCAGCCCCTCCACGTTTCAGGGTGAGTCTCTCAAAAGGACCCTTAAAACTGTTGAGAGTGAAGTCGCTCACGTGCTCTCAGTTGTCCCCTGTGTCTTTATGGGAGCGGCCAGTGTGGTAAACGTGGGCCCTGACGTGTGGGTTTGGAGTCCACCTGTTCCCCCGTCTGCATTCTAGACACACGGTGGTTCCTTCCTCCCCGCGTGCTGTGTTAGGGGAGAGTCTGTGCTTCATGAGATAGATCATACTTTCATGTAATTTTAAACTTCATCAGCTTCTCTTTTAGGGTCAGTTCATGAGGAGCTACGAGGAGAGAGCCCTTGGGTACAGGGTGAGAAGGGAGTGAGGCCAGAGTCGGCCTGGCTGGGTCTGGGCTGACCCTAACCTCCCAGCTCTCCTTTGTCTTCTGCAGCCCGACCTCCCACGCCGGTCCCATTTCTGCAGTGGATGTTTCTCCTGGTTCTGCCGTGTGTCCCCTTTCCCATCATCACCCTAAACATGACCCTGTTAGAGCCATTTCAGTGACAGTACTGCCCATTCTGTCTTCACTGTGGCCCCATGAGAAAGACAGTAGTGGTGTGTATATGCCTGACATATTTTTTTTTTCATTTTCTTAAATTTTTATTTTTATGTTAATCACCATATATTACATCATTAGTTTTTGGTGCAGTGTTCCATGATTCATTGTTTGTTCATAACACCCAGTGCTCCATGCAGAACGTGCCCTCCTCAATACCCATCACCAGGCTAACACATCCCCTTACCCCCTCCCCTCTAGAACCCTCAGTTTGTTTTTCAGAGTCCATCATTTCTCATGGTTCGTCTCCCCCTCTGACATACTCCCCTTTTCTTCCTCTCCTGTTATCTTCTTCTTTTTCTATTTTCTTAAAATATGTTGCGTTATTTGTTTCAGAGGTACAGGTCTGTGATTCAACAGTCTCGCACAGTTCACAGCGCTCACCGTAGCACATACCCTCCCCAATGTCTATCACCCAGCCACCCCATCCCTCCCACCCCCCACCACTCCAGTAACACTCAGTTTGTTTCCTGAGATTAAGAATTCCTCATATCAGTGAGGTCATGTGATACATGTCTTTCTCTGATTGACTTATTTCACTCAGCATAACACCCTCCAGTTCCATCCACGTCGTTGCAAATGTATGCCTGACATATTTTTATACCCCTTCTTTAGTCAAGAAAACTGGGGTGGTCCGCTGTTTTCCTCCTCCTGTTATTTTTAGAAAAGTGTTTAAATAATGACTGTCCTGTGGAGTTTATGTTAATGGAACTTTACCTGTTTGTTTCTATTATTGTGCAGAGAGAACAATATAATTTTGTTCTGTTCGTTTCTGTGATGTCTTGGAGTTAAGCAGTTATTTTCAGAAATGTGATAGGTAATGATTTGTGTGTTTTGTTTTGTTCTTATAAAAGTGAATATATTTGAAATCTTATGAAGGACTGCTCACTGTCTTTGAAAGGTGATTGCGGTTTTGCTTGAAGAGGATCGTGTGGGAGCCGAACCCAGCTGGGGCCCCAGGACACAGGACAGCACCCTGCATATCAGTGACAACTCCTCTCAGCTGAATACCAGCCTGCCGTTCCTTCAGAGTAAGGGCTAGCCTTGAAGTGTGTTGAAATCTCATAGCGAGCATTTATGTTGAAAGAATGATCTTTACTGTTGCATCTTGTGTTAATGTCATGGGGTTTACTGAATACAGAACAGAGATTCATCATCTGCAGAACTCTGAAATGCAAAGTCGGTTTTCTTCTAAAAAGGAAACTGCGTTAGACTCACATGAACACTGGCCCCAGGTGATGGAGGGGGTGAGCCATAATTTAAATGAGTGGAAGCGGAGGTTTTGTGTGTGTGTTTTAAATCCCGTTTCTTCCGGTCTGTTACTCGGTTTCTCTTGGTCCCTTGGAGTGGGGGCCCCGGGGGGCCACGTGAGGGGGTGCTCCGTGAACGCAGTGTGAGTAGCTGCTCTTCCCATGGGTCCTCATCTTCAGACCTCAGCTGGTCCCAGAGCACCCCGGCTGAGCTGCTGCATACATGTGTGAGCGTTTAAGTTGCTTTAAGCAGAGTGCGTTCACATGGTCAAATTGATGTTTCTTCAGCTGGTCATCTCTTTGCCTTGTTCCAGCTGGTGAAGTAGTGGCTGCAGTCTGTCCTGGTCTGTGTCGGAGGGAAAGGAAGAGTATTTTTGTTAGTTTCTGAAATAATTTGTTTCTTGTACTGTATGTACAAAGAAACAGACAGTGCACTTGTAGAAAGAATAAAAATATATTCAGGGCTTTACCTGACAGTAAATGAAATCCTGTAGTGAGAGCATGCCAGTCTGACAGTATTATGATTGGACTCAGTAAAGGCCTGTTGTGGTCCTGGGAGGGCAAGATTCTACAGCTGCCTCGGTCTGCTCTGGGGGCCCAGTGGCCGGCTCGCCCAGCATCCCGGGCCTGTGGGGAGCCAGGCGTTGGTGCCATTTCCTCTAGATGTTTCTTCTGTCCTGCCTGCTCTCTAGAGATTTATATTCACATATGTCCCTTTTCATTTACCACGAACAGAAATGGCATTACTAGTTAAAAAAAAAACAAAACGCATGTTCTGTGAGAGTTTTCATTTTTAAAAGGTAAGAGTTACCCTATTAGAAAAATAGTAAATCATTGTATTTAGAGTGTTCAAAACCTGCACGCTCACACTCCCACAGCCCACCTCACCCCAAGAAACGGGAGTTAAAGACACACTTTGCCCCAGGAGCTGATGAGTAACACAGCTTACAAAACCGAGGGAGCTTGGGTTATATACATGCATCTAGAGTCCTTTGTGAGAAACACAATGCACGTATGTTCTTACAACACGGGGCCCTTGGCTGTGGTAGGCATGAGTTCCCCCAGTGAACAGTGTGCAGGTTTCTCTCGTTAGTTTGTTTTGTGTTCCAGTAACATGAACTTATTTTCTGAGAGAGAGAGAGCGGGGTGGTAGGGAGGGCAGAGGGAGAAGGAGAATCTGAAGCAGGTTCCATGCCCAGTGCGGAGCCTGATGTGGGGCTCCATCTCAAGGCCCTGAGATAACGACCTGAGCCAAGACCAAGAGTCGGACGCTCAGCCGAGTGAGCCATCTAGGCACCCCTTCAGTGACATGAATTTTGAGGTAACAGAAGGAAAATGAGATTAGATGGCAGGTTATCTGACCGAGTGAGGAGTTGGTCTCGCCTGTGGACCTGGGACCTGGTCACATTACACCCCAGTCTGTGATCTTCACGGGTCTGTGTGGTGCCATCCTCACTGTTCAGACACACACCAAAGAATGATGCAGCCAATGCTGGCCTGCTGTTTCTTTGGGTCGAGTGGACAGAAGTCCTGCCCTCCTGGTGACTGGGAAAGTGAATGTGCAGTGTGTCAGACGGGTGAGTTCTGAGGAGAGGAAGTGTCAGGGCTGGCGCTCTTGGCTCCTGAGGGAGAAGGCCTCGCTGTGTGAAAACCACAGGCCTTGAGGGGCTCAATGAGGCACGAAAGGGACCCCTTGCGTGGCCTGACTCCAGATCGCGTCCAGGCAACTTGGTTCTCTGAGAGTAGCTTGCAGACGAGGCGTGGCGTATGCCGAACATCAGGAAAACCATGAGGCCCGCTTGGGCCTTTTTCAGGAGGAGCCGTGGCCACCTGTTGAAACCCAGACCTCAGGCCCAGGCAGCTCTGAAAGGACTTTATTTCTTCATTAAGCAGAAATTTATTTGAATATTTAAAAAAATATTTATTTATTTGAGAGAGTGAAAGAGAATGAGCAGGGGGAAGGGGAAGGGTGCAGGCAGAGGGAGAAGCACACTCCCCGCGGAGCAGGGAGCCTGACGTGGGACTCGATCCCAGGACCCTGAGATCATGACCTGAGCCGAAGGCAGACATTCAACTGACTGAGCCACCCAGGAGCCCTTATTTGAATATTCTTGTGTGTTCATTTAACATGGATTCTGGCAAACACTAACATGCAGAAATACTTCTCTCATTTTTACCCCCAGATCGAAAAGTGTCGTGCTTATGTGCCTCTCAGGTGCAGAGACAGACGGTGGTGTCTGTGCACGGGCCGCCTGGAGCCGCGTCCGCCCCTGTGCTGGACCGCAGATATGTGCTGTGCGTGTGGGATATCTGGCAGCCTTCGGGGCCTCAGAAGGTCCTGATATGTGAGTCGAAGGTACGGCCCCGGGAGAGTCATAGGCTTCCTGAGAGGAAGGGCAGGCAGTGGGAGGGGCAGGTGCAGGTGGATGGCCATTTCTTTCCCTTCCCGGCCGCCCTCAGCTATATGCAGGTGTGATGGGACACATGCACGTGTCTACTTTGACTCTAGAAATTCTTATCTCAAAGACCAACTCAGACTGAAGAAATCTGGGGTTATCACAGCCTTATAGGTCCACTGGGGTTGAGTAGGTACCCGTGTAGCTATAGACTTCATAAAGATGTTGGCCACCCTTGGCATGTCTCTGGGACCCGAGAAGTGTCCCTTTTTGGCTTGCAGTATTTGAGTCATGGATATTTTAGGGGTGTCTTAGCAGCGTGGAGGTTTTCAGAGTCCTCTCTTGTGCTTCTCCTAGCCCCTCATTAACAGGTACAGTGGGAGAGTTGTCCTTTTAGGTTTGCTTCCTTTTGGATTGGGAAAGTACATATGCTCCTTGATCTCAAAGTCACTGATTTTCACCAAGGCGGTTGAGAAGAATAACTTTTACAGGTTTTGTGGTATAGGATGTAAATAAAATGACAGAGCATGGCATTGCCATTCTGGGCCTGGCGACTGGGGTTGAACGGAGGGGCTGTGGTGCACACTCTGTGTGCCCAGCTGTGTGCGAGGCGAGGCACCCGTGTTTGTGAACGCCGGTCCCGCAGTGGCTCGTCCTCCCTGCTCTCCACTTGGAGCAGATGCTGACTTGCACCTGCTTACTTCCCGGTGGGGGGTTCCCAGGGACAGTGTGGGACACGGGGAGGCTTGGTGCTCCCATGACCATGGCCTCACGTTTTCAGTCTCCAGCTTCCTGTGTATGTCATTCCAGGTCACATGTTGCTGCTTTAGCCCTTTTAAAGCCTTTTTACTGTTTGCTGGGACAGTGCACGGCTCGGTCCTTGTGTGGGACCTACGAGAAGACTCTAGAATACATCATTATGTGAAGCTGGGCAATTGCTTCTGGACCTTCAGGACAGCAACGTTTTCTACTGGTCAGTGACCCCCACTGCCCATCCGGTGTCTTCTAGAAAAGTCATAACAGAGTTGAGGAACATCTGCAGCGTCTTTGCGTTTATTCCTTCAGATTACCCCAGGATGGGGTCTGACCTATGAACAAAAGAGGCATTTGAGGAATAGTGAAATCAAAAATCTACCCAGGTGGTGCTCAGCTCATGGCCAACAATGATTAGAATGCTCTTTCTTGTTAAATTTCTGGATTTCAAATCCTCAGTGAAATAACTTTTAGTTTTAAATTAGCTTAAGGCATATTGGTACGTGTGTGTTCCACGGCGTAGTTAACCCCACGAATGCTTGAAATAGACAGAAAATGATTCACTTCTTGGGGGATGAAAAGACCCTGAACGTCTGCACCTGCCAGGATCTTTAATATGAATCCTTCCTGCCATGCCATTGTAGCCACAGTCACGTAGCCACAACCACTCACGGCTACAACCACCCACCACAGCCACAGCAACCACCACAACCGCCACAGCCACAGCAACCACAGCAGCCACGACCAAACAACCACAAACTGCAGCCTTAGCCAACAACCATGACAACCGCCAAACCAGCCTCCACAACCACAGCAGCCGCAACCCCCACCCCTTGGTGGGTACGTGTTCTGGGGCTTCCTCAGTGCTTTGTAGACATTGGTTGTCTAATGCCTATCTTGGCCTACTTCCCTGCTGCTCAGGGAGAGGAGGAGCTTGTCCCTGGTCACACTGACTTTGTGGCGGGGCCTGCCCTCAGACCCCATTGGCTCCACTCTGTCTTTCTCTCCATTCCTGCCCAGGAGCCCCTGTGCCCAACACACACTTGGTTTCCTGTCTCTCCTTTCCCACCAGCCACTAATAGGTTTTCTGTCTCCACAGTTTTACTTTTTCCCGATGTCAAATGAATGGAATCCTACAGAATGTAGACCGTTGAGCCTGGCTTCTTTCACTTAGCATTTTGCATTTACAGCTCCTTGTGCTGCTGTGTGCACCAGCAGCTCGTCCCTCAAATGTGTGCACCATGTTGTTTACCCGTCCACCAGGTGGTGAGCATGTGGTTAATTCCAGTTGTTGGCGACTGTGAATAGAGCCTGCATCAAAGGGCCTGTATCAGCGCTTGGACCATTTTGCAGTCCCAGCGAAGTATGAGCTCCTGGTGCTCTGTATCTCACCAGCACGTGGTACCACCAGCTTTTTAGCCATTCTGATAGGTGTGTAGTGGTGTCTCATTATGGTTTTAATGTGCATTTCCTGATGACATATGATGTGCAGAATCTCTTCATAGGCTTTTTAGAAAAAAATTATTTGAGAGAGAGAGCATGCATGAGGTGCGGGGAGAGGAAGAGAAAATCTCAAGTAGACTCTGCTGAGCACAGAGCCTGATGCAGGGCTTGACCCTACGGCCGGGGATCATGACCTGAGCCCAAATCAAGAGTCAGACGCTCAACGGACTGTACCACCTGGGTGCTCCCAAAGCTCCCCCCACCATTTTTTTTGCCACTGTGTGTCTTCTTTGGGGAGGTGTCTGTTCACGTCTTTTGCACATTTATTTCTACAAGTGATTTATTGCCTTGTTGAGTTATAAGAGGTTTTTGTTTTTTTTTTATATTTTGGATAACAGTCCTTTATCAGATGTGTGTTTTGCCAGTATTTTTTCCCAGGCTGTGGCTCATCTTCTCATTTCTTAACCAAGTGGGGTTTTGACCTTTCTTTTTCTAGTCTTCCTCCATGAGACTTTGATATCACACATATGTTGCATATCTGTGTATGTACTATATGCATAACTGTGTTTTATACTGTTAGCCTTAAAACTCCCAGTTATTGTACCAGCAAAAGATGGATTTATTTGGGTATGGCAGAGGGTTGCAATCCAGATAAGCACGCTATGGCAGATCTAGGCAAGTGCAAGAAACACAGGACACAGGGACGGTACTGCTTGGAGAAGGAGGAAGTTGGGGGGGGGGTTGTTTTGAAGAAAGGTCCACTGGAAAAAAGCAGGGTTCCAGGTGATGAGGTTTCTCACTGGCTGAGCTGCTGGGGACGCAGTGAACATCTTTCCCTGGTGATTCTGTCCTGTGGAGTGTTCTGATGTTGGGGTTTCTAACTGACAGTTTTCGTGACGGGCACTGAGTGCTGGGCTCCCCATCTAGCCTCCCAACTCCACTGTAGTGAGGTTTCCCTTTATTAATTTTCACAATGCATACAAAAAGGTTTTTTGTCCCCTAACAAACAACCTTTGCCTCCTTGGGGCAGTGTTGCTGTTGTTGAGAATGTATGAGTTTATAGGTACCTTATGGGTTTGATGCTATTACAGAGACAGCTTTTTTTTTTAAGAGGTTTTATTTATTTATTTGAGAGAGGGAGAGAGAGCACAGAGGGAGAGGGAGAAGCAGACTCCCCGCTGAGCAGGGAGCCTGACGTGGGACTCGATCCCAGGACCCCGGGATCATGACCTGAGCCAAAGGCAGACGCTTAACGACTGAGCCACCCAGGCACCTCCCAAAAGATAGCTTTTAAAAATGTGCATTTTCTAATTGCTCCTGATATACTAATTAATGTTTGAGTTCACCACCATATTCAGAACACTGGAACTGTTAAGTTTTTAAACTGTACATATGTAGATAAGTGACTCCATTCAAACACCTCCTTCATTTTTTTTTGCCGCTGAATGTTGTCACTGGGACCATTCAGGTTTCACTAAGCTCCCAGCGGTGAGTGAGCCAGGGAGCTTCTGACCCAGCCCCTGCACAGCCCCCCACCAGCATCTTCCCTCTACAGGCCCTTCCAGTGGACCCCCCCAGTGCCCTCCATCTGCAGGCCACCCTCAGTGTGGCCCCCCATTGTGTGCCCCCCCCAGGGTGGCTCACCAGTGTGCAGCCCCCCTGCAGTGCACAGCACCCCCTCCCCCCACCCCTGCACTGCACAGCTCTCCTCCCAGTGTGCTCCCCGCCCAGTACCTGGGCCACCCTCAGTGCTTGCTCCTCAAGCTCGGTGAACTAGAGTCTTGTCTGCTCTTCACTGGTTTTTCTCAGGGTTCAGCCCCCGCTCTCATTTTGTTTCTTGCTGTTTTCTCTCCATGTCTGTCCTGGGTTTCTGATTTCAGGTGTTGTTTTTGCTTGCTTGCTTGAAGTACATTTCCAAGTGCTTTTTGAAGAGATGTGACACAGTCTAGGGTGGTGAGTTCTGGGCTTCTGCTAAGTGCTTGTTTGGGGCATGAGAATTTTTATCTCACATCCTTTGATTTGCATTTTGTATTTTCTTCTTATAGCAGTTTTGTATGGAGTTTGTCGATTTTTTTTTTCCTGTTCTTGGACTTTTTATAGATGGCTATTCTAGGTCAGAGGAGCTTTATTCTGTTAGTTTGTGAAATGTCGTTTCTTTCCGGGGTGGGGCAGGCGAGTGTCCCTGCTCCGTGTGCTGCCGTGCCCTGCCCTGTCTGGCTTCACTTTGCAGCCTGTCTATCCCTATAGCTGGTGAGTGGCCCACCAGGCCCTGCCCGGGAAGCTGGGTTTGCTCTCAGGGCGCTTTTGCCTGGTTTCTGTTGGGCCTTTGACTCCCTCGTGCCGTGGAGAGTCTTGACCTCACCCCTGCCCTCCGTGCCTATAGCCTTGTTGGAATGAGTACTTCTCTCTCTCCTTACAGGTGTTTTGAGGTCCATGATCTCCGTTTCACAGTAATGCTGAAAGCTGTGATCACACATCATTTTATTTGGGGTCCATATTGGTTTTGTGGTGTTTGGGGAGGATGGATCCCCGCATGACATTAGTTGTGCTTCTGTGACTTCTTCACATGTGGTCCTGTGTGCTTTAAACCTTAGATGGTATCCTGACTTCCGTAAACCACCGCAGTCCTGTTCAAGCCATAGAACCCATCTCCACGTCTGTCTACAAAAAACAGAGTTTTGTGCTTTCCCCCTTTTCTACTCAAGAAGGTATGTGATCTTTCACTTCTGTGAAATCCTTCAGTCAAGTTATACAATGTGGTTTCTTTGTTCACAAGCCATTTCTTGTTTCTGTTTCTACTAGAAATGTCAGGTTTGTCATTCCACATTGCTTCCCTGGATGAAAGTGGGGTTCTCAATGTGTGGGTGAGTAGGATGTGCCCAGGTGCTCACACACGGGGCAGCGCCGACTGAATGCATGGGCTCTCGGACCTGCCAGTTCTGTGGTAGTCCAGGCACTCATACGTGCCTGGTGGTCGGACGATGATATGCTTGGCTAAGACGCAAGCACCGAGGGCGATAGTGGACTGACTCGGAGGCTCCTGCAGGACTTCCTGGGGGAGCGAGGGGAGGGCGCTGGGGATGTGTTCTTGGGGCGCTCTCAGAGGACGCACTGAGGCTCTGGCCACTGGCCAGTCTGAGTGACGAGATGTGAAAAGAGGTCAAGGAAAGGGATTCATAACATTTAAAATACTAATTCTGAAGGTAATGATCAGTCTTTTTTCTGGAGCAGTTATATTTTTAGTACTGAATATAGAATGCTATCTTAATTAGAACTGCACTTCGCTTAGATTGTGTCCTGGTATATCCCTGACATGCATTAATACTCATTTCAATATTCTGTTTTTAGGTGGTTGTTGAATTACCAAAGGCAGATATTGCAGGCTCAGTAAGTGACTTAGGTAACTATTAAATAAAAAAAGTTAACTTAGTCAATGTTTTCTAGGGTGAATAGAGATTAAAGATACTGACAACCACTTTGAAAAATAAGTGAGTAGCTGCCTGAAAAATGAACATTAACGTTCTATATTGTATAACGGTAATCAACTGCTGAATAGACACGTCAGAGTGATTCAGGAATACTCCTTCCAGCTGATGATGTTTTCATTTCAGGAAGGGTTAATGAGTTCTGCTTCTGTCTGTATGCCATTCTCTTCTCTGTGTTCCTTCCATGCACTCAGGAGTCTGAGCGCTTGAACGCATGTTCATTGTGGGTGGTCTTCCCTTGGTCGGACTCCGGGGGCTCTCTGAGGTTGGAGTTGGCAGAGGCCTGCCACGGCCTCGCACGTCGGGGGGAGTGCAAGTGTTTACTGAATGGCCCTGGGCGTGCTAAGCAATAGAAATTGACAAGAGGCCCAAAGGGGGTTCCAGGCAGGGCTTTGCTGGGGCTTGTGCCCCAGCACTAGGGGGATGCACAAAGGGAGTCCTCAGGCTGCCTCCCCAGGAGGGGTTGGTGAGAGCTTTAAAGAAACTTTGATGGGAAAAGGGTGATGTCTAAAGATGTAGAGCAGGGATTTTTTGGGGGCTGGCACACTTAGCGGTCATGCTTCTTCATGCTCCTTCATACGCTACATGTCTAATTAGCTAGCATGTTAAATCCCCACCCCCGGGTGTGATTTTTAGTATGATAATGAGAGGGAAAGCTGGTGAAGGGTCAGCACTGTGGTCCATCTTGGCTCAGACCGGTTTGGTCTGGTTCTCACAGCCAAACTTCCCTTTTAGATGCTGGAGGGTGTCTGAACTGTAGTAAACTGGTCAAAAACTGGGTCTTGGGGGCTTGCTTATTGGGGGCTTGTGGCTTCTGGTGTCTGGCTTAGTTTCTGGCAGCACCTGTAAGCAGGGCTAGAAAACTGGGTGACGGTGGCGTGTGAGGACTTCTGGGTGAGGGACTGGAGTCCCGTCCCTGCTCCATCTCAGAAGTGTGAGTCAGCTCAAGCACTTTGCGATGCCGTGGCGTCCAGTGCTTCGCTCCCGCGAGGCCTGGGCATGGTGGACTCTTGAGTCTGTTCCTTGGGTCTGGCACTCCCTGACTCTGTCCTCACATCATTAGTCCAACTGCTTACTTTCCGGGGACCAGCCCCGTTCACCCTGTGTGTGTGAGGGGTGTGTCCGGCTGACACTTGTTCCTGCCGTCTGGAAACCAGAGGGTTAGAGATGGGGCACTTTGTGTCCATGGAGCAAGGGCTGCGTGCTTCGTGCTGGATGTCGGAGACAGTGCTCGGAGTACTGTGGACTCTAACTTTAATGAAGACAGGGCTGAATTATCTCACTGATTTCACGTGTACACATTTTTGAGGCAGAGTAACTATTTTCTCACTGTTTTCTTATAGCTTCCTCTCTGCTTCTTACGAAGCCATCATACTGAGTCCGTATTGAGCCTTTGGGGGGTCATAGATGCTTGGGTTGCTAGAGCAGGACAGCGTGGGAGGTGCTCACCCCTCCTCAGTGTGGCTTGATGGTGGGGCCGGACTCGGAGTTGGGCTCAGGGCTGACCCTGCCCTCACCCAGGCTGATGCCCTGGACCCAAGGATGTTGCAGCCTTCGAGCGCATCTTCAGGCTGCCTGTGTTGCTCACTTGAGCCATGACCAGGCCATTTTTTAGGAATTTTGGATGGTGGTGAGGAGTTAGAAAGTCTCTGTCCACAGTTAGTTCATAATCTGCCTGTGGAGATGAAATCATTTTGCATAAAAATACTTTGTAGTAATATGGAATAGTCACACAGAAGTTATTATAGGGCAGTGTGTATTTCATCATTAAGTGTTGTTATATAAAAACTCCTTTTATCTATAGGACCACTTACCCAAACTCTGACCTTGTTTCAGCTTTGCTTTTGGGAAAAGAGGGGCTGACACACACATACCAGTAGTCGGTGCTGGAAGAGCACGACCATTAAATGCCCGTGGGAGCGTTTGAGGTGTGTGTGTGTTACATGAGTGCTAACTCAAATCACGGCTACAGCTAATCACTCACCATCGATGAAGGGTTCTCAACAAACTGGGCCCTGTCTTGGGTGCCAGGGGAGCAAGGTGACAGGATGCTGGCTCTGCCCCAGGGAGTGTTGTCTTACATGGGGAGGTTGACACACCAGCCATGGCCATCGGTGATGTGACCGCTACTTCAGAAGATGTGCTTAGTAAGGGCTGTGGAGCCAGGGCAGGAAGACTTCCCAGGGGAGGCCATAACATTTGGGCCGAGACTTTCAGCACTGGAGTTCCTGCAGGAGGACAGTGTGCTGGGGAAAACGAGGGCAGTCTCAAGTCTGTGACAACATAGAATATTCTCCTGTCAGAGTTGTAACCTTGACAGAGCCCGTCACTATAATCAGTCACACTTCCTGCAAGTTGAATTTGTCTGTAGGGTTAGGGTCTCTATACTCCCAAGGGTCTAGGCAGTACCTTGCCCAGAATTTGGGTTTCAGTATGCATAAATTTTTAGTTCCCTCCTTTGCGGTAATTACAAAAAAAGGAGGAGGATATTGGGGGCAGACACAGGAGGCAAAGCCAGTGAATGGCAGAGAGGTCAGAGCTGTGGCCATAAGTGCTTCGGGAGTCCAGGGAAGGGGGTACCAGCGCCGAGGAGCGGGTGACCGCCGGGTGTGCCTCTGCCTTTGTAGGAGGGAGGTCCTCGGTGTTTCTGATGAGCATAAGACCACCAGTGGGCATTTACAGCAAACTATTCCTGTTGGGAACTTAAGGGGTTTTGGTTTTGTTTTGCTTAGTGTACTGCCATTTTTTTATTTTATCAGATCTAAAAATGTAAAGGCTTCTTGATTGGTTCCACAGTCCTTTTCTCATAGGGCAGTTTACACGAACCTCGCCTGCATTAGGGAGGGAACACTCTTTATGGGCCCACGATTTGGTGTCATTTCCTAACACAGATGTTTAAGCAATGAGAAATGATTCCAGGCAACTGTGATTAGATTTTGGTTTAACTTGTATTAAGAGGTGCATTTATTTATGGTTTTCCTATTTTTAGGTCTGATACCTGGAGGGAGGATAAAGCTGGTGCACAGTGCTGTAATTCAGCTGAGCGACAGGTAAGCCTGTGCAGTCTGAGTGAGAACGTTCTCTCCTCTCCCAAGACCGATTTCCCACAGAAGGAAATAACGTTAGGTAATTGCACATACAGAAAATGTGTGGTCGGGTGTGCATTGAAAAATCCAACTCCTCACACTGTATTTTTGCTCAATTAGTTTAATATTAATGAGTCAGTGTAATAAATAGTTACCACATATAGAGCTAACATTTTTTTCTTTGATTAAAATAATTTTTATCTTATAAATTGGTACTACAAAAACTTGACTATTTTTCAACCAGGTTTAATATAACTCTGAAGTTAAATAGGTAAGTTTCAGGAACCAGAAACATCAATATGAAAGTTTTATTCAGAAATTTCAATTTCTGCTTTTACTCGTATAACTTCATGTGATGTAAAAATTTTTATTAAATATACAAATATCGTTTGTGATACTTATATATTCCATGTAAATTTATTTCCGAAACATCTTTTTTCTTGTCGTTTATTGCAGTTGGGGGCTATCAGCATGTGATTTACCCTTGAAAAGTTTTTTATATTAGCGTGATTCTTCTTAGAATGCCTCTGGGTTATAGTAATGAATTTGTACCTGCTTTGAGATTTTAAGTCACCTTTAGTTGGTTTAAATATGATTACTACAGGGAATTCTTTATGTTTAAAGAAGTCAGCTAGTACCTTGTGACCCCTGGCCCTCACTGAATTTCCCCGTGGATTGGGGAGGTGGCAGCTGAGACGGGAGGTAGACAAGGAGCGTGCTCAGTCAGAGGGAGCAGCCCATGGGAGGCCCAGGGGCAGGAGCACCTGACCCCCCCTAGGAAACTGCCGGCAGGTTTGCTGTCGAGAGAGGTGGGAGTGAGTCTCTGGCCAGACCTCAGAGTGTTTGCTGTGCTGCAGGGTCCAGACGGCTCTCTTGCAGGGGGTAGGGAGCCAGTACAGGATTTTAAGGCAGAGAGTGGTGTGTCTTATTTGTGATTTAGAATGATCTGCTTGGCGACAGTGTGGGATTGGACAGAGGAAGGGAGACAGGAGGCTGTTGTAGGGTTGATTAGAAGGATAGGGTCTGAAGTATGGTGGCCATCTTGCATATGGAGGGGTTGATCTCAGTTAAAGGGGTGGAGTTTGGAGGAGTTGCCTCTCACCGGGGTGTCTGGCTTGGCTGCCAGGTGTACCGCACACAACATGAGGAACCGGAGCTAAGGGGGAGGAGACTGGGCTCGTGCTGCTTGTGGAGATGACCAGGAGGCAGCCAGCTCCACAGCAGAGATCTTTGCTGGAGGCACAGACTGAAGAGTCCTCAGCTGACCAGGGACATTTGCAGTCCTCAATGTGGGTATGAGAGACAGTGGCCAGATTCCCAACTTCTGGCAGAAGGGGCAGCCATGGACCCTTTCCTGTTACAAATACATACACTGTATAGCGTAAATACTAACAATAAACTAAATAGAGTTTTTCCGACAAAGAAGAGGACGGTGCCAGCCAGGAATGGAGCTTAGAGTTGGCGTGCAAGCCTTTGTGTGGTGTGGAGGCTTGGGTGTCAGTGTGGCTGTCACAGGCTTCTTGGCTGTGCGGGGCTCAGGCCATGCGACCAGTGACGCATCAGGCTTGCCTGACACTGGGGGCTAGAAGTGAGAGCCCTGTGCGGGATTTCTGAGTTCATGGCCCCTTCAGTGAGAGAGAAACTCAGGGATCCCCACCCCAACCCAGGAGAGACAATGGGGTGTGGGAGACTTGAAACCCTGAGCTCCCGGTAGGGGCTGGGATCCACAAGCTGAGGAGGTGGCATCAGAATCTCAGACCAGTGGCTCACCATCCAACACTGGAACAGCTGCCCGGTAGGCGGTGTTCGAAGGTGGAGGAGGAGGGTCCATCGAAGGATGGAGGCACTACTGAGGAGGCACTTTGAGACCAGGAAACAAAGCAGGCGGCTCCATCCAGTTTACTCAGCGTTTTATTCAGGGTATCTTACTGACAGGGAGGATTGAGCAGGTGACCATCCAGAGCTGTGCTCTGCAAAGTTCAGACCTTAGTGCACAGGTTTTATAGAGTAAGCGGATGTGCAGAGAGGCATTGCAGTAAGGTCAGAGGGTTCACATACACCTCAGAGGGTTCGTGTGCGCCTCATTGCAAGCTAACCCTTAATTAGATCTCATGGTGCCATCTGTGTCTCAGGAAGGGGGGGACCCTTTGTTATCTTTAACAAATTGGTGGAATGCCAAAGGAAGCCTCCCCTAGTCCTGGCCTCTAAGGTGTGTATATTACTTTCCAAGGGGCCTAGAACACGTAGCCCCGAGAGAGGACACGCACAAGATGAAGTCAGTATTGTCAGCACTCCTACGTGGGAGATGCTCCCATGAGATACGCTCCCAGGGCTCTTAGAAGAAGCAGTTCAGAAAGAAAAATTATAAAAACTGCAAGCCTGAAGAAACATTTACCACGGCACAATGAATGGGCTCAGCACAACAAGAACTTGGGATAATGGGACAATCTAAAAGACATTTCTAGAAAGAAATTGTCTCTGAAATTTAAAGTACGTGAATGGTTAAGTAGATTAGATGTAGCTAAAGAAAGAATTAGTGAACAGGAGACCAGAGCTGGAGGAATGTGTAGAGCTTAGGGAGCAGAAAAAGGAATGGGAAAAGAGCAACGAAGAGCCACAGAGGAAGGGTGAGACCAGCAGCTCCATGTCTGGGGACACCCAGTGAGGGGTAAATGTGTGAAGTGCCGTCAGCCCTCTGGCACCAAACAGTTCATCTGCTCATTTTGCTGTTTCTTTCCAGCCTTTCCCATAAAGGCTGTGAATTCTGGGGGGCCACACGAACCCTGAATGTGAAGTTTCTGCCTTCAGACCCTAGTCATTTCATTGTTGGCACAGACATGGTAAGTAAGAGTTTAAATCTCATTCTGTAACTCATTCTCCTTTCTTGGTTGTTTGGCAAATCTTCATTAAAGATTAACTTATTATTTGCTTTTATTATGATGCTGTGTAGTTGTTTCAAGAATAACTGCTTTTATCCAACCTCATGCCTAATCCTTTATATCACCATTGGTCTTCTCATTACCAGGGTCTTATAAGTCATGGCACCAGACAAGATTTGAGAGTATCTCCCAAATTGTACAAAGCCCAGCAACCTGGTATGAGACCAGTCCAAGTGAATGTGATCGATTTTTCACCATTTGGAGAACCAATATTCTTGGTAAGAAAGTCTGTTGTTAAAGCACCATTTCTGTTTGGGCGGCAAAACACTAGCAGTGATCTCTGGGGATTTCTTTAAAGTTGATCACTCACCAGCGCACATTGGTGCCAGTGGACTGCATGGGGCGAAGGTCCCCTCTGTGTAGCCTGTGCAGAGCATTCCATGTGGCTGTGGAATGGGTCTGAAATGTCTTTATCTTCACGTAATTTGGGTTTATGGGAAAGTTACAAGAACCTGCCCGTTGCATCACATCCTTTGCTCCGTGGCTCCACCCTCTCCCCCAGTCTGTGTGTGGGTGTCCACGCTTTCCTGTCTGACAGGAAGTTGCAGAAATGATATTTTATCCCTAAATAGTTTGGTGTTGGTTTCCTAAAAATAGGGTCATACTCCTGCAGCTGCAGTCCAGCCTTGACCAGTAGGAAGTTAGCACTGGAACAGCCCTGGCATCCAACGTGCGGGTCTGATCAATGACGGCCTGGTTTATACGCAAAATAACACCTGAGGTCACGAATCTCATTCAGTTCTGGGACAGTTCCTCAGACATTCTGAGGGGCTTAGGAGGCTCCTCAGTTTGATTCTGTGTGATGTTTCCTCATGATTAGATTCAGGTTTGCTCTGACCCGCATCTGCCAGTGGAGTCACTCCTTTCCCTGTCTGATTCCCATGTGTCTGTGGGGAGAGAAATGGTCACTCGGTCGGTGCCCCACACGCAGCTCCCAGCTCCCCCCGCCGGTCACTCGGTCTGGGCATCCATTGGCATGGCTTGCCTGCATCCGTTATTGGGGTGATAAGCAAATGGTGATTTCCTAGTCCTCCCCTTAGTTTTATGTTACTGGTTGGCTGTGCGCTGGTAGGAAGGCTTTCCCTTCTCTCGTGGGCAGGCACGCATGTGTGTATTTAGGACGTCAGGTGGACACATGGCTGTTGACTGTTGACTCTCCTTGTTGGGTCACGTCCTCTGCTGCTCAGACTGTCCTGGGGACACCCTTCAGGCTGGCTCTTGTGTTTTCTGACCTTTGCTTTCTGGTACAGCAAACTCCGGAATCAGCCATTTCTCCAAGGAGTCCTGGCTCCAGTCAGGAGAAAAGTACTGAGAAACCAAGATCTGGGCAGCAAGAAGTGCTCACCGGGCAGGACACAGCATCGATACCTGCTTTGATCTCTGTCTGCTTATCATAAAGCCGGTGCTCACTCACATCCTTAATGCCAGGGCAACCCTGGTTCCCTCCACCCACCCAGCAGGGGGAGACCTGGCTTCTCTTACCCGCGATGTACACTTATGTGCTCAATCCTTACCCGTGATGTACACTTACGTGCTCAATGCTAGAGTGCACAGAGCATTTTGTGGTTGCTAACTCATGCCTCTGCTCTTTTCGAGGAAGGATGTGAAGGATTAAATATATTGCGTTAAAAAGGAGTTAAGCTTCTCGAAGCTAAAAATTTGGGCTTTTACTTAACCAGCCAAGTTTTGTTTTATAAAAATTTCAATCCAAGGGGAATATATAACCGTATTATTGGTTCACATTTATGTAATCTTCTTAAAAAGGTGGGTTATTGATTTCTCTGGAGCCAATCTTAACAGCCTATGGTTGAATTAGCAATATTCAACTTTGTTAAAGATAAACGCCTGTTTATGTATTCACTGAATTCATTATTGGCCATTTGGGGAAGGGGAAGGGGGTTCCAAGTGTATCAGGATCTCCAGGGCGAATGCTCACCTTTGTAATTTGTGAGGACAGACCTAGTGCTCTGAAGAGTGTCCCTCATTGCTGAGACTGAGTGAAAAAGAAGAAAGAACGAGACCAACAATGTCCACCCCTGTCCCCAGGCTGGCTGTTCAGATGGAAGCATCAGGTTACACCAGCTGACGTCCGAGTGCCCTCTCCTTCAGTGGGACAGCAGCACCAACGGCCACGCGGTCACAGGCCTCCACTGGTCCTTGACCAGACCTGCCATGTTTCTGGCCCAGGATGACATGTCCTGTATTTATATCTGGGATCTGCTGGAAAGTGATCTGGGTCCTGTAGCCAAACAGCTCATCTCCCCAGACAGGTGAGTCTGATGATGTGCCCTCACAGGCAGTTCTCAGAAGCATCCTTGGTGATTTATGGGTAAGGTTGCTACACTTTAAACTGCGGTTATTTATGTTTAAATTTAAATACTTTTATATTTACATATTTAAGTAATATGTTGAAAACCACTAGAATATGTTATTTCATATTTAGGCCAGAATAGTCTGTGGATTAAAGAATTCACACTATACTATTTTCCCATGATTATCATCCTTTTTATTTATTTTTTCATTTATTTGAGATAGAGTGAGTGAGAGAGAGAGAGAGCACAAGCAGGGGGAGGGCAGAGGGAGAGGGAGAAGCAGGCTCCCCGCTGAGCAGGGAGCCCGACATGGGGCTCGATCCCAGGACCCTGGGATCATGACCTGAGCTGAAGGCAGACA